AGAATTTAAATTTGCTTAGGATTTTTCCTGAAATTTCTCTCATTTCCGGGTTTGGGAATGATTTTCCGAGGTTGAAAATTAGACAAATTTTCTGGAAAATTTCAAGAAAAATTCTGGAAACTCACCAAAATTTTTTCCCCAGGTTTGGGAGCAAATTCCGAGGATGAAATAATGCACAATTTCAGGAAATTACTAGAAACTTTTCCCATACAGTACCAGGACAAATTCCATGGAAGGGAAATTTTTTCCAGGTTTGAGAGAGTCATCTTGTTACCTGGAAATATCTCATTCCTGGAAGTGCTTTATACCAATTGTTCCGGCTAATGAGGATATTACCGAGAAAAAAAAATCTGGGTTCCATGTACGTAGTCTTATACAAAGGTTAATTATCATTTTATTTGGTGCAGTCATCCTCTTACTTCTACCTTGTACTCAATTCATTGACAAGACGCACACTATTGTAACTATGAATGGCAATACTGTTTGCATGATCTTACGAAACAAAGCATTGTGAGGTATACTGCACTGTACTTAAGCTCACAGCATGTCACAGAAAATATTACAGGTACAAATATAAAATTGAATCAGTCAATTAAACAAAACAAAATATTTACCATACTTATTTCCTCTCACATCAACCAACTCATCTTTAATCTTTTGAACTTTGATCCTTCTGAACCTAACAACAGGGGTAGTTTTCCCTTATTTCTTCCTATTACTGTACACAGTAAAGCACAGTTATGTATTGTACTGTACATTACTTGATTATTTTTATGGTAAAACAAATATTGTTTCCTCACTACTACCCCGGTATTGTATGTTTTCATTCTTAATGGTAGGATTACTTGTCTTACTGAAAACTGGTACCATTTCCAAGTTTATCCAATACAGCACTGTACTGTATTTTGACAAACACACATTCCTCCCCTAAACACCCATGGCCTTTGCTGGAGGACATATTCTTCAGTTTGACCATTCAATGAATACAAAATCAACAAGGTATGAAACATAACATTCTTGTTGATCTTCTATTCTTCACAAACTAAGGTTTTCAAATTCATATCAGAGTAAATACAGTACTGCATAAAATTACTTATACTGCCAAAATAATAAGCTAATAATATTGTAAGTCACTGTCATAAACTACTGTCATTTAGAAATGGTGAGTGTAAATAGCAGTGTTAGTGACAATAATTTCTTTAGATCACAATATCAGAAAAAATGTCACAAATCATGAGAAGATTTGTAATATGAAGAAAATAAGGCCATCATATTTAAAGATAATGATTGGATACCTGTCAACCAATCACAGAGCATGAAATGGCCAAGCTGTGACCATATTTAAATGATATCTGAGGAACCATAAGACACATCTATTGGTTCAATGTGAAGACAATGTGTTCCAAACAAAGATACAAAACCCTTCTGCTAACAAACAGATGGACGAGTGAGTATACAACCTGAGTAGCTACATACCGGGGAACACCTTTGGGAGAGGCACAACAATAGTGTACAGCATTTAATAAAACTACAGTACAATATTAAAAAAAAAAATGAATGACAAAAGAAATCACTTAGAAGCTACATAATTTGACAAATTTATTTATTGAACAGATAATAATTTAAAGGCAAAAACATACCGGTAATTCATAAATATTGAAGAGAATAATAATGGGTCTCTACAAATTAAAACATATCAAATGTATTAAACAAATTAATTACACAAATGAAATAATCATCTAAATAAATCCAAATAATACTCCACATTAAAAAAGAAAATTCATAAATTCTTCCTCAAAATCCCAACTTTAATTGCTCTTCCACCATACAGTACAGTGCAGTATTACCAACACCTCTACTAGTACTACTGGCATCTCCCGTGACACACTGGAAAACTTCAGCCGTACCCTTTCAAACCTGCTAGTGGTGTTGTTTCTGGTTCTAATGATTTAACTACCAGGATCATCAAGTACCATACATCCAGTTTAAAAATACAGTCTGAAAAACCAATACTAACTGGTCAATTTATCATTAAACATGCCATTTTCAGACAAAACTATCCTATGCTTTCCATCCCAATTTCCTACTTACAACTTATTCTCAAACTTTTCTTTAACCTACATACACCCTACTGGAACTGTACAAAGAGACTAAAAAACTGTACTTAATTTCTTCTTTTTTGAGGTTACTGTAATGTATATTTTCTATTACATAAACTTCACCCTGAACTTTAGCTTTCCCACAATCTTCCCTCATAAAGCCTGCTGGGCAACATTACAAAATACAATCCATTATCAAGCTAGGCATATTTCTTACAAAACAACTAGAATAAGTTATAACAAATATATAAATGTCCTTAATTACAGCCAGACTTCATTTGATATACAGTACAGTATCTATACAATGTCACTACTCTCTGAAACTTACCAAATGTTTGAAAATCCACAATTAGCATAAATCTCTGCGACAAATCCTACACGTCAATCCTTTTCACATCAAAACAGTCAAGTTTCCACTGGTTTATTTTTACTGACAACCAAAAAGTTTGTCTGACGTAACAATAAACACTGATCACGTATGTGAATAACATTTCCGATAAGTAGATGGCATGTTACACTGACTAAATAAAATGTCATGTTTTGCTAATAACAGCCAAGAGCTTTTTTTCATCATCAAAGCCCTTGTCAATCACACACCTATGTATTCCTCAAATAATTTATCATTTGTCCAGCCATTATTAATCTGTTACAGGGCCATATTGGAGAGTATTGATGGCCAATATGATCAAAGGACTAACGTGGTCAGTGTTGGGGACAATGGTAAGGTTATTTGAGCGACCAGCCACTAAAACAAGTTCAAAGATTAAATATTTTCCCTTTTTGTAACTTGGTTTTGGTGTGAGATTAACTGATACTCGCTTTCATTATGGTCTTCGCATTGGTCTGAATCTTCTATATATTACATGTAGAATTAATTTCAGGTCGTGCCCAAATAAACTTATTCACCTATTTGCATAAAACTTGAATGTGGAGAAAATATTACTATATACAGTAGAGATATCTTAAAAATCACTGTGTTCACCCCAAGATTAGTTCTAAATTACCATCAGCTGATTATTATCGTAATAGTGAATGAAAAAAATTAATACCAGTACAGTATACAGGAATATCTTCATTATTTAAGATGGCAGTTTTTCATCACAGAGATGTTAATATTGGCATAAAAAATTCAGGGACAACTTGCTATTTACTGAGAATGTTACTAGAACTAATGGGACTGTCTACGAGTAAAATGAATCGGCTCTGGTTACTTTGGCCAGCACAAATATTCTACAGTGGGCAGATCAGTATGTTGGTAGCTGGAAGTACAGGATTCAAAAAGTATATTGTAAGAAGTATGAACAGAGGAGCCAAGACAAAAAGCCAAAGGATTCTGTTAATGTCAAAGAATAAAACGTTTTGGGAGGAAACATACGAGTCATGCAGTGTATCAATAATGTGGGATACACCACCTATTACTGTCTTTCCTCATTGTTTTGGTAAACTACATACATATGCTACAACACACACTTAAAAAATTAATTATCCATTTCAATTCTCATCTACCTTTTACTTGTTCAACAAATTTACACAAAATTCCTCATCTACTTTGTTCCCTCCATTAAAATTTTTCCTTTTCCATTTTAAGTATTGTACCATAATTGCATTATTATCTCTGTCTCCCTACTTTGTCTACTTTGTTTAAAAACTCCCATCACTCTCTTCAATCTGCTCACAAAATCAAAGTTCACTTACAAATTATTACTTTAAAAGTGACACATAAGCATCATAAAATGCCTCAATTGCATGACTTAAAAGCTAGCTGTCGCAATTAGCCATGCACATACAGTACAGTACTTCATATTATTACTTCATGGTGTTATGAAATAAAAAACAGCAAGTTAGACATTTGATGGTGTTACTTATGATGCCAAAAAATGAGAATCATTATAAGTAAGACATTTAATGGTGTTAATTCACAGCATTAAAGTGAGAATCATCACGAGTATGAATGTGGTCACATGTTTCTCTTACGAATATTTCTACACTAACCAACACCCTACAGCTTCTGTCGTTACATAACAAGGATGAAAGGGTTCAGCATCTTGTTAAAATTCACTTCAAATGTTTCCTCTCCTGTGAATATCATACAGCATAATTGTACTGTAGTTAAAAGTTTATTACACAAAAAACAACTCAACTGTAAATCAAATAAAAACAACCAAAACACAATCACTTTTTTTCTTTACAAATTAAGGCTACGTAAATAAAGCAATGGAGGTAAACCAGAAGAAAATCTTTGGGCACTACTGTTGAAGGGGACACCATTAGAGACAACACCTGGTAAGACAGCAAGAATAGGTCTGTGTTGCTAACTCTGGCTCTACAAACTTAAAACAATGTAATTTATATCTAGTTTTAAATAAAGAATTAAAAATATACAGTACAGTATTCTTTAATCAGCATAACCCAAAATTTCAGGTTGTGTAAAATTAAGAAAACAGTAAATCATCTGCTACAGTCAGTTACATAATTAATAAAAATATCAACTCTCCGCTATGTCTTGAACTGCTAACTGTAAGAAGTAAATGAAAGTATATAAACTATTGTTACTGTTGTCCTTTAGTGTTGCCTTTTTTTTACATTTGCCTTGCATCACTGTTTCTCATATTTACCTCTTCCTTGAGGTTTCTTTGCTCTTTAATCCACTCCACACAAGAATGGAGTAAAGGTACAGTACAGCTCCTCCCCGACTTACGACCTACTCGACTTATGACCACTCGCACTTACGACCTGTCTCAGTCATACCAAAGTTTTGTCAAATTACGTATTTTCGAGTCCCAATGTCAGCACACAGAGAAAATTTTCGTTTGAAATTCACTTTAAAATGGCTAACAAGCTTAAAAGTGAGAGTTTTGTGGTGCTGAGAAGAGACACCCATTTTAGATTTTCTATGTATAATTTAAGCATTTTCGACTTACGACCTGGATTTGGGTCCCTAACCCCGTCGTAAGTCGGGGAGGAGCTGTACTGTAATAAATAAAATAAAAAATAAAATAAAAATAAAAAATAAACACGAAACTATACCAGAGTTTTACAGGCTGACAATGATACATTATAATATCTTCTGCTCTGTAGGTGTATAAAAAACAAATCATTACAGCACCCTAATACCCAAACATACCTGTACAGTATATAGGATCCAAGAAGCATTTTCCTTGGAGACATACCGAGGTCAGTTGTAACACGTCACTCCTCATTGCTCGTTCACATACTCCAAAATCAGCTCCAAAATAGGATTGTGGCTTACCTATAAATACTTATACAGAATTCCTTGTAAAACCATCTGCCCTATTACTTGAAATAAAGAAACAAAACAAGAAAATAAGGATAAAGAGAAAAGCAACATGGATGGATAAAATCTAAGATACTATTTGACAAAAGTTGCAACATTATGAATTTAATGGTGCAACCAACTTGAACTGAGCAAATAGCATGACTGAATACCTTTGATGTACACTACCTTACAGTAATGTAACTGATATATACTTTGCATATCATGATGGGTACAGACTTGCATCTTACAGCAATGTACACCAAAACATTAACATTGATTCCTATTTGTATAATATGACTTTACTAAGGCATATAAGATCAAGGCAATTCTGATACAGTAACATTCTTTTAAAAAATATACAATCAAGGTCTAATTAACGGCCTTAATCGGATTCTTTATAAATAATTTGTGTATGTTTCACAACAAACAGGTATTCAATAATGTATATCTCTATTATATAAAACTAATATATTTCAATCTTGAACTTGACAAACACCGACTCAAGTTATACACTTAAAAGTTTCATTTTATATTTTGGTTTACTCAAATATAAACAATCAGTTCCAAGCATTTTGAACTCAAATGTGAGAATAAAGCTTCACTTTACATTCTAGTCTATCCAAATACAAAGAAAATAAGTTCCTAAAATCTGGAACTGGAATACCAGAGGTACACACACACACCTGAATACTTCAAGATCAAATACTGTAATACTAAGAGTCATAATATAAGACTGATACAAATAGGTTGATCTTACCAGGAACATGTACTATTGCTCAGTGGTAGTTACCCCCAAAGCAGGCCAACAAAGTTTTTGCTCACAATACAAACACCAATAAGTGCTGTATTTCAAAATTTTAAAGGAAACAGCTCTGTTCATTCTTTTGTGATCTGGTACAGAAGTTCACTTATGTGAAGTAGAAAATCTTTGTTGTCGTTAATATGCAATTACAGTGAACTGTACTTATGACAGCCACTGTAGAATAAATACAGTATTTGTACTGAAGGAAAGGAAATGATCTCTTGTTCACCTCTATATGTAACACAATCAATAAACTATGAAAGTTAAGGATAAATACAGAACACCTGTATCTATCTTATCTATGATGGCTCACTCCTCCAGGGAAGGTGGTCACAATACAGGAACCTCCAGGTCACCTTAACACTACATATCTGCTTTCATCTCTCTTGTCCCTTTATTCCTACACTGTTAAAATAACATCAGGTTAGTTTACTGTCTGCAAATGCAGAGGTGATCAATGAAAGTTTCATTTTCCCTTTAGCAACTTAAAACTTAATAAGGTATGTTTCCTTTCTACAATCAATATACAACAGTACTAGATAAGTGCTAATCTATTTATACTTAAACAATGAACTTTTTAAACTAACATGATCACATGAAATCACTACTGGTCTTGTACTAAGACTGTTTCCAAGGATTTTTTTCCTGGAATGGTGTATCAAGTAGGCAGTTCTTTTCCACTTGCATACAAACCCTAAGTCAAATAGATATTTATTTGTCAACTCATTAATTCTGGTTTGTCTGAAATTTCTAAAGTAGAAAATTATGATGAAAAGCTACAATGTCGAATCTGAAGTGATCAACATAATAGAATTGTTTACTGTTTCAATTGTAATGACAGTATAGGTAATTTAACAAAAAATCAATATTAATAAAAGAGGATACATAAGCAATATGGAAACACTCTTATGCTCTTCTGTGAAAAATATCAGGGCTTTTCCACATAAAATTTGAACTTTCAGACATACAAGGCTTACCTTAAGCAAATACATTTTCTCCAGGGGAAAATGTGCATGAGTTTCTTTTAAGACAAAGAACATATCCCAAAATTATCATGTGGGACCTACCAATCACTCATTTGGTTACTCGTGTACAAACTAATTTAGAATGTAGAGCACACTATGCAAGATCTAATATGCATAACGGTAAACATTAATGACAAACATTACAAGATCTTCCACTTAATAATTAAAATACTGATCAGAGTAATAGACTAATCCATCTATTCATCCAATAAGATCAATCCCATCCAAGGAAGTGACATTAGATTTGTTACGGAGTCATTAAATTTAATTACAAATAACCACAAGTTACAATAAAATTCCATCTAAAAGTATTAATGGCTTAACCCCTTCCTTACCACACAGACAAGCTGTTATATCAATGTACGGCATTAACAATACACGTTAACACAGTCATCAGGAGCTGTAATAAGCATGGGGTTAAGGATCAGTTCGAGGATATGAGACTGCACAATTTAACACATAATCCTGGCCAAATACCTACCACAGGGAATTAAATGAGAGGCATATCACTGTGCAATGTAAAGCTCTTAACACGTGAAAAAGCCAAAAATGGAAACTTGTTGGTATCACTGACGTCAATATGTGATACATTCTGTTTGTCATCAAAATGAACAGAAATAATGGTGTAATTCCTCCACACTAGCATCCAGTGAGGCCTCTCTCTTACTGGTCGGATCTCAAACTCCTGTAAAAAACAACAATAAACAGAACAAAACATTTTAAATTATTAGTTACATTATTTTTTCAAACATACGTTGCCTCACTAACAGATGTCTTTTGAATCTTCAAGACTAAGGATGAACACAATCTAATAAAAAAATTGAGAAAAAAAACACCACAAATACAGTAATACATAATGTGTTTGCTGAAATGTTCAATCATTATTCATTTGTGAAAACTGGAAAAAAATTTTATTATATTAAACAATGAAAAGAGAAAAACATTGTTTTTGAATCTGCAAAAACAGTCATGGGACTCACTTAATAACCACCCACTGATCAACAGCTATGAACTGTAATGATTAGTAAGTAGACCAATAGTGGGAGGAGTTGAATCCATAGGCCAAATAAACTCGCTCTCCATTTTGAGGAATACCGTTATATAGTAATAGGAGAAAAACATCAAAGGTAACTTAAGTAAGTGAAAATATAATGGAATTGCAAAGGTCTGGCTGAAGCATCAACAACAACCTTTGCCTGCACAGTACTGTGGGGTATCTAGTCAACCACAAAATTAGAAGAGGTACTGTCAATGAAGACTTACATAATAGAAATACTAGAAAATAACTGAAATACAAAAGGACAAAGAGACAGGTAAAGGCTACATAAATATAAATATAAATAAATGCACTTGGCTCTGTGACAGTACATAAAAAAAATGTAAAAAGAATCAAGAGAAACAATTCAACACCAACACTCCACACAACAGCCAATTACAGATGGTGTACTGTATATTTTAGGCCTGGTGCTTCAAATCCCGGACAAAAATCCTATCTTGCAACCCCAGATCCCAAGGATAAATACCTGTGGTCCTACACCTGCACTTAAATTTACCATCAATGCCATTTAAGCACAGCAACAGTATATTCTGGTAATAAAGAATGAAATGATGGAACTTACAATCTGAAAGATGGTTTCAGCGACATCAGTGGTTCCACCTATACGCCTGCGCCCCTTCCTCCTATTACTCATCATCTCCCGAGACCGTCGCTTGAAAATCAGCGAAACATTTGACCCATGTATGCGGTAATGTCCTCGCAGTACCTGAAGTAAAAATCAACATTCCTACATTACACATTTTAATTAAGAAAAAAAATATGGCATAATATATAAAAAGAAGATTTATCCAATACAAATCTGACAATTTCAAAGCCAACTAGACTTTGTTAGCAAGTAATCACCTTATACTGCATATGCCAATGCCTTCAATCCTATTTCTGAAATAATCAGATTTTTTCAGATTATTTATGAGAGTATTTTCCTATTATCATTTATTTGTATGTTTTATGTGTGTGTGTCTAAATACACACACACACATTTACAATACAGGTAAAGGAAATTGCTGTCTCTAGAATGAATGGCTCCCTGTCCCAGCTTCAAAAATGCCGGCAACTTTAAAACTACCCACAGACATTCTTGGATACATCCAGGGTGTCATCCACGAATAATAGAGGACAGCAAAACAAAAATCAGCAAATTTGGGGGCCCCCCTGCATTTGCAGTGCTGGTTTGCAATCCAAACATTCAAAGCTTTTCTGTTTTCACTATGTTCTTATCACGAACAGTCTGCACTACTTTAGCCCTCGTAAGATTTACTCGCTGTAACAGTCATGAATCACTTGTTCTTTCTTCTTAATCTACAGCACCCTGGAGTCGCTCACACCAAACTACCGGCCAACTGTGGCGGCGTTCATTCCTTACTTTAACTTATCTAATAATTGAACTTTCTTGGTAAGGGTCATCACTGACTTTTGCCTTTTATGTTTCATTACACTCTTATCACTATCACTAGGCAGTCTTTTAGGGGCCATTTAGCACAAAAAACACTAAAGTTTTGAGCACATCATGAGAGATGCTGCAGTGGGGACAACGGCTCAGCATAAACAAGAGAGTGGAGACGCTATGAGCACGTGGGGGTAACTCTCAGTGCTCCCGCAGAGGCTTGTGAGCTAGCTACTATCTGCTTACTGCGAATGGTAAACCCACAAATAACAAGGGTACTTTCTTATGTAACACAAAGACTTATCCTAAGCCAAGCAAAACAACTTTGAATGCTTCCTCTTACTACCATATCAGCCTAAATAGGCTTACATGTTTTTCTCCAACTGATAATAATAAAAAAAAAAAAAAAAACCAGATTATTTATTCTTTGCCCCTTTTGTCTCGCATCAAATAAATGCTGTTTTGGTCACAAATTTCATATACAGGTACTGTACTGTAATTTCATCATGTCACAAATTATGTTTTTGTTCCATTAAAACAATGATAAATATTGTCACAGCGAACCATCACTGCACTATACTCTGTATATACAGTATTAAAAGGATTAAGTCGTCATGCTCATGGGGTTAAGATACAGTATCTTACTCACGGGAATAATTCACTGTATACTCAGGGAGTAGAAATGTACTCACAAGATAAAGATACGTATGTTTCACTGTCTTCTTCCATATTATAAATTTTTCCCAGTACTGACCTGTGGATTTCTCACTTCTCTAGTTCGCAGATGCGACACAACAGCTGATGGCTCATCAGCAGTAGTCAACATGGTGACCACGCCATCTGAGAAGAATCTGTAAGAGATTTATCCTATTATATAAAAACATTACACTTTGTATGGAAAAAATGCATGCATACTAACAAATTGTATGTCAGTTGGTCTCCATAGCAAGTACAGGGTAAAAATCTTTCCTTTAATGTGGCTTATGAGATAAATTGCTTACCTTGTAGCAAATGGTCAAGAGTTCAATTCCTAATTAGACTGGAGAATTGGGTTACCTCCTTATACACTCAGCAATAGATATCTGCATTATTAGGTGGACCGTACTTGGTGACGGTGTAGAGGGTACCTATGTGCTCACCTCACATATCGGTAATACTGGACCAAGTGCCACGGCTGGTAGTTTTGGTCTTGGAAGCTACTCTCTCCGGCACGGAAGTACGTTGTGCGAGAAATATAACAGCCATTGTAGCGTGGGTGAGGTCGGTGGATGAACATCTCTCGCCACGACCCAAATGCACCCAACACTCCACAGTTGATCCCCCAAATCCTAAGGATAGAAATCCACAATTACATCAATCTTTATACACACAGTGAAAGTGGGTACAATAAACTTTTTGGTTTCTTTCAAATACTATATGGATATGTTTGGACAAAGGTTAAGACAAAGCAAGTTCTATTTATTCATCTACTTCTTTCTAACATCATCAAATACCAAACTTAATGAAAACAGTGAGTGCCCAATAAGCACCACCCCACTTGTGTACTTACTACTGTATACCTCCAAACCCCTAATTCTTACACACAATAAAAATTATGCACCAAGCTTCTTGTTTTTAATAAGCTAAAAAATATCCATGTTACTAATCACATTCTGCTGGAGCAAATTAATGCAAATGTCTAAATGAGTGACATAAAGTCATTAGGTTATGAACTTTGAAGACATCTTGGTGTGGCACCTTGTTTCGTACAGTATATCTCTTTCTGAGTTAAAATTATCACATTCAAATATATAAAAAATCTTTTACAGTATAAAAATTTTACCCTTATCTACAGAAGAACCAAAAATAACTTTAAGCAATTTAATGCTGTCAGGGCTTCTGGCTTATCTGCTATGCTTAACAACAATTTCACACAAAGAAATGGGCCTCCCAGGAGACCCCATACTCACCAATATCAGTATGGAGAGTGGATGTTTGGCAAAAGATTCCTAAACAGTTGAAAAAAAGAGCATTCAACTGGTCTTCTGATATTAAAACATGTAAACATATCATGAATCACAAGATGAATGAAGTGTATGCTAATTTTTTCCATATCTTCAGATTCACTAATGACATTTAAATATTCTTGCTATTGGATTATAGAAACACAAATGCACCCAATGTAAATGTTTCACCCATTGGTCACTTCTTTAGTGACAGTGACTTTAATCGTTTCCCCATGAAAAGAAAAGGCCACACACACAGACTCTCTGGGCCAAGGGATTGGTTGGGGAAATGTAAGTACTGTACCCAGCCCAGGCATGAGCAAAATTGATGAATAAGGAGGGAAAAAAATGTGTGTAACTTTATTACCCATCCACACCAAGAAACCAATAAATTACTATTATCAATTACAATCGACAATTTCAAAGCCCTACAAAACTTCTCTTACCTGAGACAGGCTTTGTGCCATATCTCCGGGTTCCTTGCCACCAGGTAAAAGCCTTGGCACACTCTAGAGACCTGTTCCAATGAGCGCATATCCAGGTCACTGCCAACTACCCAGCACATGATACGCTCCAGCATCTCGGGTGGCAAACATGATATGTGTGGAGCCTGGAATAAACAGAATGTGAGACAAACTAATGTCTCTAATAATACTTCCTCCCCTAAAAATAAGTGGTGTGTGGTGCTGCAGCAAGTTTCTTTTAGCAATGGTCATCTTACCTTATCTTTAAGTCAACAGAGCAAATTACCATAGTCCATCTGGGGCTAAGGTTCATATCAACCTAAAACCACCACCCACAGTGGAGGAAACATATACCCTGTACTACATACTCAGGCACTGTAAAATTAATTATAGACTGTCATCATTCTACCATCCACAGGTGATTTAACAACTGTGGAAACTGATAGGAAAGGTATCTCTATGGGTGCCTTTACTTAAATGTGCTGCAGCTCCACATTTTGGAAGAACAATGAGAATGTTTAGGGTTAATAATCTCTTAAAAAACATAAGGTCTGTATACATGTTACCATTAAGACAGGAGAGTAAGAACTCTAAAAAAAAGAGAATTTGAACCAGTTTACAACAAGATGAACAGAATCAGACAAAGATTGTATGGCAGAAACACCTTGAGGAACAGATAGATTCAAAGAGCTTTCCTTTTAAGAGGAGACTTTTAATGATTAGGTCTGAAAAAAGATGAATTAGATGACAGTGGTTTATTGTACGATTTTACCCGTGATTTGTTAAAAATAATACAGTACAGTACAATCAGTTTGGTAAATAAAGATGGAAACTGCTGATTACTGAACTGACTATTAGTGTGGACGGACAGGCAAGAGTAACTAACCAAGTGATATTCTATAGTGGGGGGGGGAAATAAAAATCAATACATCTATTATGAATTATATGACACATCATCCTGAGAAGACATAACACAAACCTTCAGTGTTTATCATTATGTGATGGATATACTGTGATGGTAAGATTCAAAAGTATCTTTTCAACTACATCTTGAAAAGTTAATATAAATAATCCTCTTGGTTACATTATACTGTGGTACTACTAACTAAGAGTACCTTTCTTACCTCCTGGTCAAACTGTGGCACACACATTGCCTGAGTGGGAGCCATGAGCATTTGGAATCGCATGACCAGGTCCTGCAGCTCCTCTTCATCAAGGTCATCCTCAGTTGCTGAATCTTCACTTTCAACAGCTGTCCCACGGTACCCTGAAAACACAACTGTACTGTTGGTAGGTAAATTTCCCTGGGTGTTAAGGTGAATCTAGAATTTACATGAGCATTCTGTAATTAAGTAGAAGTGAAGAGGTGGGTAAGTGCTAGATAACTAAACCAAGATCAACAATGTAATAGGTCTGTCCTTTAGAGATTTAGTAAATAAGTAAGATAGAGTGGGAAAGTAATATTATTGTGAGTATACTGTACTATATAAATCATTAGAAATACTGTAGTATGTGGTGTACCAGTAATTTCATAAAGTACAACAGACGGCTGTCTCACACTGTACATCTAGTTAGAAACATAAGACACAAGTGGCACTTAACTCTCTCTCTCTCTCTCTCTCACACAACCCCATTACAATTAATACACAGATTAGTTATAAAAATGTCTATGTGTCTGTACCTTCATTCCTCTCCAGAACATTTCGACGATGAACCCTAAATTCAATGTCAGGAACAAGGGTCATGGCTCGTCTGTAGAACTGAATGGCTTCATACAGCTGCCCACTTTGCTCCAATTCCACTGCTTTATTGAACAGTTCAGTTGCCTGCAATATTTAAATTCATCTTGTAGTTTATATTCCGTAAGTGCAGGACTAAAACCAGAAATTAAAATTACCATAAATGTCAAAGCAATTGGACTTGAGAAACACAAGCAAGTGAAAGTGAAATTTGTAATTGTTCTTTATTCTGTCTATCCTCCAGCACATGAAGGGGGCTTGCAAGAGTGAGAAGAAATAAATATTTTAGCATGAAGAGACAAGAAATAGAGCATTGAAAACCACAAGTTTCAGACCCCTTCAATTGGTAGCTCAAAGGAGATCTATATAAAAATAAGGCCAATACCCAATTTTCCAAACTTGAAGCAGCATAACTCCAGACTGGTAAAGTACAGGGTATATCTAACTCTAGTCAACCCCAATTTTGGAAAAGCACAAACACTAGCAGCAATAACCCTATAGTACAGTGGATAAAACTAGTTCATATCTTTAGTACAGGTAGCTACTGTAGCTGAAGATCAATATGATAAGTACCTACAGATATGCAGACAGTATTCCTGCTATATGATCTAGAGATTTAAATATTTGGGAGTGGAAGGACACTCATGAAAGGAGAAGAAATTTCTAATAAAGAGTGCGAGGACAAATGGAGGAATGAGTTGGTGAGGAAGAAGATGGGATCAGCCATGGTTGTGTTGTTTCTATGGTTGTGTCATGTTTTTATAAATAAAAACTGTAAGGAAGGTCACTAGAAGTTCATTGTGAAGTACAGTATGAGGTTGGAAAAGGATGGCAGAGAGCAATAAATGGATGATAATGTATTTTGATACTGTAATGCTATTATTAATAGTAGAGAGGGTAGATGATGTGTTACAGTACAATAATTAAAAACTGTATAGGGGGACAGAAGCAGTGAACTCAAAGTGGTGGATGAGAGAGTTAATGTCTGGAGAGGAGGGTGAGTATGAACAAGTGTTGGGAGTTATATTGGAAAGGGACAGTATAGAGATGACCATTGACTATGAACAAGCTATTGGGTTGGATCGCTGGAGACAGCTTTTAGAATAAGGATAAAGAGTGAAAGGTATAAGTAATACAACAGCATTATGAGCTGCATCTTCATTATCTCTTACCTTTAGTTCAATGTCAGGTCTTATTTCTTCTTCCACTCTTCCAGTGCTACCGGTACCACTGCCCCCAACACTTTCACCACTACTAACAGTCCCACCACTGCTGCCTCCATCAGTCCCTGGAGTCTGAGTCCTCTGCACAACTCTTGGGCTTCCTCTGGCTGGACCTGAAGGCCCCTGGGATCCCTGAAAGACTCCCTTGGATGTCCCTCTTGAGGGAGATCTTGCAGGTGCATGATAGAGACCTTTCTGATTGGGAGTTCCCACCAACTCCCGCTGCCACTCCTCACGGAATGTGGCAAGCACAGATTCTGGATCCTGTTGACAGAAGACCATAAATAAACAAACAAACAAACAAACATATTCTTCAAGATACAGCAAGTAATTCCACACCTGTAGTCCTGCATTAACTGTTACTAACTTCCCAAGCATGTCTACTGTACAGGCATTTCAAAAAGTGATTCTGTGCCTTCACCCTTTAGCCACAAACTGTAATTACTTTCCAGCTGTATTCCTGATGGTCGTCAATTTTCCAGTAAAATACAAAAATGATAACTGGTCCTTTACTACGTTTTCTTCAACACAAAACCATAAAGTTTCCATATCTGACATTAATACAGTATTTCTTAAAAGTAACATATGGCCACTGATGAAAGAAAATATAATAAAACTGCTGGGTCATCACTGTAAGAAACACTACGACCCATAAGCTTTTTCATACTTTTAGTGTTCAATAAGTATTCTGTACCGTATAAAAAAAAAATTATATTCCATCATGAAATCATGAGCTGAAAATGAAACATACAGGTAGTTTTTATATGGTAATTTTAGGTAAAATTTCATAAATAAATATTTTGTCGTGTCCTCTAAGATCATGTAAGCAAACTAATTACCCCCGGGAATACAAGTACAATCATCGAATTCTTATTTACTGTACAGTATATTATTATTTAAGACATATTAAGGGAAGCAATTTTTTGGAGAAAAAATTTAACTGGACATTATACAACCACGTGCTGCCAACTTGTAAACAATCGTCATTAACATCGTAGAGCTGTACAGTACAGTGTATCACCCGTACTGTAGATCATTAGATTACTGTACAGTATTAGTGAATTATAGCTAACAAATAATACACACATACTGTATTGCACAGCATATGTAATTATAACATCCATAACTTACCTAAATAACGGTGAAAACAAAGCAAACGGGTGACAAGATAAATGCATTACATCGTGTGTGGCAGTGGTCAGCCTAGTGAGTCATTGTGGGGGCAGTACGGTCCAGGACTCTGGCACCATTTCATGTTTGGGGAAGTCAAAGAAATAACACCATTTTTCTCTTTTATGTCAGCCGGCACTCTTAATTGGCTGTCAAACAGATTGTTCTATACAACTTGTTTGAAGTGAAAAAAAATGAAATATAGAAATACTGTAACTGTAAATAAATCAAATAAAAAAGTTGGCAAGCAGCTGCTTCCACATACCTGATTGCCCTCAGGACCAGATACACTGTGGTCAGTTATGTCACCAAGAGCAATGTCATCATCAGCTCCTGCAGAATTTCTGGTGTCAGCCTGAAAAAATCCATAATCTGTTTAAATTTAAAAATCAAAAGATTATACAGTACAGTAAAGTATAATAAAAATAATATGTTTACATAAATACAGTACAGCTCCTCCCCGACTTACGACCCGCCTCAGTCGTACCAAAATTTTGTCAAATTACGTATTTTCGAGTCCCAACGTCATTATACAGACAAAATTTTCGTTTGTAATTCACCCATTTTAGATTTTCTATGTATAATTTAAGCATTTTCGACTTACGACCTGAATTTGGGTCCCTAACCCCGTCGTAAGTCGGGAAGGAGCTGTATATATAAAATGTACTTACTGAAATGTTGAAGGGCTCAAAAAGTATTTCAGAGGCAGATTGCAAGTGAGGACAAGTCATACCCAAAGGCTTTCTATTGTACCATTACACCAAGTTCAAATTAAAGACACGTGTGGGCGTCTCAGATCAGAGACTTGAAGATGGCAGTTACACACACTCAGAACAGGTCAAAGCGGGGAGGTTAATCAAATTATTTTCCTCAGTATTCACAGGAGAGGATGTGAACAATTTCCCTGCATTTCAGGAAAGAAAATTAGACACAGTGGTGACACACAATATGTTCTCAGAAGAGTCTAGTACAGTATTAAGAAGTGTCTTAAAATTGTCTAAATTATTGATGGCAACCACAAGGAGCTGTTCAATTTTGTAAATTTTTTCCACAGAAGTTCTTATCATTACACAGTAGTAAGTATTTTAAATGAGGCAACAACTTTTTATTTTAATTCTAAGTATTTTTTTTTATTTCTTTAGATTTTCTCGGTTAATATACTATAGGACTAACCCGCAAGCGAGTTATTTTTATTACTGTTTATTTTCCCATAATATTTTCATCAGTGAGTTCTGATATAATAATAATTTCTTGTGGAAATTGTTCGTTTCAGGGATAATTAGGCGCCTAGGCATGCACTAGTTTGTGTTGCCGGCGGTATTGAGGCAGCACTCTAGAGATGAGTGTCGTCTCTTCCCAGCGGCAGTTTCATTTTCAGCATGACGTTGAAGGTCGTCGCTGGTCTTATATGGCCGTAATTTGCGAATTTAGGGATAAAGACACCGAGACCCTAAAGTTTTTCAAAGTCCACGGCATCGTTCCTTTAAGTAGAAAGTATTGCTCACAGCAATACTGTGAAATAGAACTGGGTTTGTGTGCTAAGACAGTTGTTGTTTGGAAACAGTCATTCATTACTTAATCGACGCTGTGGCTCAAGTTTCCCGCCATCTCAATCACAAATCACTCCACTGCCCGGGCTCAGTAAGCGCCTATACATCTCACGTCCAGAAAATGCCTCAAATTACACAATATCATAGTAAGTTCTTTCTGTTTAATATACCGTGCCCCCCGGGAAGGAAGTTAGGTAAGGTTAGGTAGCTTTGTTTGGTTAGGTCTGTTTTTCATAACCACAAATGTTAAGTAACTTTTATTTTAAAAATATCAATTTTTTTAACATATTTCCACAAACTACAACAGTGTCCACTATTTTAGAAGTAAAAATCCGGTGTTTTTATAATTGTTTTCAATCAATTTCGCTCACGGGTTAGTCCAATACAGTATAATTAACCATTTTCTCTATTTACAAAATGTAAATCACCTATAGTGAGCAGGACATGAAGGATGAGGGAAATTGTGGGGTAACACATGGTGAAAAACTGATTACAGTATATGAAAATAAAATTATGTCTGTAATTGCTTTTTACGTGAAGCAACTAATTATTTATCGTAAATACTCTTCTGAAAACTCTGCTGAGTCAGTGCGTGTTGTCGTCTGCTCAGTTTGTTTGCAACTGACCTGCTTGGTCCGAGCGTACTTTCACATCCACAAAAAATGTAAAATTGCACCATGACACTTCAACAAAGTTGCTTTCATCAGTACCAGACATCAAAATAAGTACCTGTACTGTACTTTCTGTTTAACATGGCGGGGGGCGCTGACCCCAGGTAGGAAGTTAGGTAAGGTTAGGTAAATTTCTTTGGTTAGTTAGGTCAGGTTCTATTAGGTTCAGGTAAATGTTGTCTCTTTTAAAATACAGTACTGTACTGGTAAATTTTTACTTTAGGACATGAGTCCCTAGGGGTTGATTTTGGTGTTTTAAGCGAATCTGACCTTAATTTTTGTCGAAATTGCTCGTTTTTGCCCCACCCTGACCCCCCAACAATAATGGGGGAGAGCCTGGGAAATCGGGCGTTTTCATTTATTTGTTTTTTTTTTACGGGGATTAGCCCACCCGGGGACAGGTCACTGACCCACATCGGGGCCTGGGGGGCAAAAATGTAATAATAATAATAATAATAATAATAATAATATTAATAATAATAATAATAATAATAATAATAATAATAATAATAATAATAAAGAACCATAAATACAAAAAGTAAAAAAAAGATTAATGAACACAAAAACGAGTCATCTAACATAACCTAACAACTTAACGTAACATATCCTAGCGTAACCTTACCTAACCCCTAGCCGGGGGCTCCGTCCCCGGACCCCGGTAGGCCTAGCTTAAACTAACCTAACCTATCCTAACCAAATGTAGCCTAACCGTGATTACGTAGGAATTGGATAACATGATTGTCTTTCTCGCAAAACTCGGCAATAAACTTAAAATGATCATAGGAGCACAAATCACACCCAACCACCATTGTCAGACTGGTGATTGAAATTCAAATCCGTACCCAGGCTGCTTCCTATGAAAAAATTCATATGTGATTGGTCGAAAAAAAATCGCGTGACGAGATCGATATAATTGGTCACGACTGGATGACGTCAGTCAACATTGCGCATGCGTGATATAAACACATGCATTATTGTAAAATCAATTAAATTCAATCGTGTCGCTACTTTCCATTTCCGAATGGTAAAAATGGTATTCAAAATGTTCATAATAGGGAGAGCTGAATGTTTCAGTAGTTTATAATTTTGGGTCGTGCTATGTCCGAGAGTAAAATAACACCAAAATACTACTACTGTTTAATGATAAGAACATCTGAGGAAAAAATTAAAGAAATTGAACAACTCCTTCTGGTAGTAATGTTGTTCTCAGACATTATCCGGTTGGGTAAAATTATCGTTTCAGTCATCTACCTATGTGGCAGTAGTTCAGAATCGTTCAAAACACATCAAAAACCATCGAAAAAAAAAACAATTCTACCTAACCTAACCTAACCTAACCCAATCTAACCTAACCTAAACCTCTCTCAGATGGTGGTAACTTAAAATCCTAAAATTATCTGGATAACACTACTCCCAGGTGACCAACTCTTCTGACATTTAACTCTACTAATGAAGTGGCGCCCTTACAAGTTTCCCTCATCAACCTTACATCCATCAGGTGCAGCCAACTGAGGGTGACTTAACCTGATGCCAATAAATACTTACAAATAATGAGTGAAATTCTGAGCCATGTGTGAGCCGCTACAAATGACCACTTCAATTAACACAGTTTACAAACAGTGGGAAGCTTTATACATTAACCATATCATTCTTACCATATCTATCTGCTTGCTGATTAGTTCAAGCAATAGATTCACGGTCAGAGAAACGTACAACACAAGAGAAATATATTCTCGACCTTACAACGGCTGCCATGTTCACAGCGCTCCAGGATCAGTGTGTTGATGTTAAGTGATTCTCGACCTTATCGTCCTTAAGCAGAATATCATCCTCTTATGTTTTAGGATACATAAAGCAACCAGATTTATCCTAACATTAAAATAATTATCATAGGATATTTAGATTGTGATAAATCTGTATCTTTTATTTAAATACAAATATTGGTTTAATAATTAGATTCGTGGTATGATCCTAACATTGACTATAGTATACGTGGGGCTATAGAGGTGAGTCTTGCGTGAAATGATTTGTTTACGAGGATGAACACTTGTCCGGTTTCTATAATTCATTGATATAAGTGATTTATTTAATGATTATATGATTAATTATTTCACACAGGTAACTGAATATTAAAAAGAATAGATTTTTAGCGTAGTTTCAACTTATCATAGAGCATGAATAGAAGTTAAAATCAAGAAATTATTGTATGCGAGCTTATTCGGGTGAGTTGATAAACCATATCTCTGGAAATAATCTAATTTTCTCCTGATATTTAACATTCCAAATTAATTCAGTGTTTGCTTTGACCGGTGTGCTAGGACTGGTGCTATATATTTTCCTCTCTAGCCAAATGAAAAGTTATGATATTAATAGTAATGAAATTAAATAGTTTTGTGGTGTTAAAAATACTGCGTAGTTGTAAGGCTCCTTCCCTCCCCCAGCGAGGGAGTTTGGTCATATATGGATCGTCTGAGTTTCACTTTATATACCCAAACACCTTGTTCCTGTGGGTGTAATTAATGCGTTGGAGTGCAGCGTCAGTTATCGTGGGTAGACATTTAATTTTTCGACGTGTTGTTAACTTTCTATACTTCCATACAGAGGGGACAGGAACTGGAGCCTTCCTTTATCCTTTCTTGTTCTGGATGAGGTATGGAACAGATTCAATAAAAAGTCACATCCGCTTAGACTATAAGACAATAAATCAAGGCGTTTGTCACCTAATGTCAAGGCTGTTGCGCAAATCTCATTATTTTTTCGTAATGAACTTTTTCATAGACGCCCGAGTATTGTGGTTGTGTTGCCAGAAAATGTACAGTAATGTGTCTTCACAAGGGCGGATCCAGGGGGGGTCCTGGGGGCTCAGATCCCCCTTTTCATCAGAAAATTCCAATACTTTTTCTTTAATGCAGTATTGTACTCAGGCATTTTTGTATAGTAAAAAGTATTTACTATTGACTTCAGAATATCTCCTAAAATTAAGTGCGCAGGTAAGAGAGAGCGAGAGAGGGTGTGTGTAGAGTTACCTGAGACTGATTAAGCGACTCTTAGGTGTTATTTACATACAGTACAGTCGTTCGGGAAAGTTCTATATATTTCTTATTAAGCTGACGTTTTCTGACCATCTAGCTGAGAAAATCAACAAGGCTAATAAAATAGTGGGCATTATTAGAAGAACTTTTGTTCATCTGGATGCACCTATATTCAAGGCTCTGTACACTGCTCTGGTTAGGCCACACCTTGAGTATGCTAATCAAATTTGGTGCCCATATCTCATTAAGGATATTGAAGCAGTAGAGAATGTACAGAGGAGGGCTACCAAATTAGTACCACAGATCAAGGATTTATCTTATGAGGAAAGACTAAGGAAATTACAGTTACCGACACTGGCGTACAGAAGATCTCGTGGGGACCAAGTGGAAACATACAAGATAGTGTGTGGCATTTATGACCAGGCATGTACAGCAGGAATGTTCCAGATGAGGGAGGCTGACACTACCCGGGGGAACTCAAAGAAGATCTACAAAACAAGAGCGAGGCTAAATCTCAGAAGACACTCGTTCACGAGTAGGGTTGTCAACAACTGGAATGGGTTACCTGAGTGGGTAGTGAATGTGGAGACGGTGGAAAAGTTTGAAGCAAAATTAGATAGATACTGGAAAAATCAACAAGTATATAATTTTCGGGCACAATTATCTGCCACACACAGCCACCGTCTGAGTAGAGAAGAGGCTATTGAGCTGGAGTCACAGGCGTGAGCGTCTTCCAGAAGATCATCTGTGAGTATATTGGTCAGACTTCAAAAAATCTTTTGGGAGGGCTTATAGTCACATCCCCCCCCCCCCCCCACCTAAGCAGGGTGGGCTTGCTGCCCTCGCCATGTTTCCTCACCCACAACTTTTTGGACCCCCCCTTTTGATATTCCTGGATCCGCCCCTGCATCAGTCAAGACAAGGGTGTGCCTTTTCTTCCGTTGAAGTTGCAGATGACCCATAATAAGCACACCTGCCTCTTCAGAAGTAAATGGACTTTCTTCCCCAATCAAAAAGTGATTCAATGATTTCTTGTCCTTGTCACGTTTCATTATATTCTCTTTGGCAGGTTGAATTGTTTCACCTTTGAGAGTGTAGGAGTGAGGTATGATACCAAGTACATGAACAAATCCCTTGGCAAAGCTGAGTATTATTGCGTTCCTTGGTCACAAAATATAAGCCTCATTACCATCTACCAGGTGAGCGTCAACGGGAGAGGAATCCTCTGTGAATATGACCAACTTGTTCAACAATACAGCTTGTGTACGTCTCTATATGCATCAAAGAGTGATGAAGGAATAATATATATAGAAGATGGTTCATACTTGAAGATCTCAGATAAATGCAAATCCCTCGAAATTTTTTGGGCGAGATAACAAGTTAACGAACATGAAATTCCCCCCCCCCCCTCCAAAAAGAATGGTATCACTAACTTCCATCCTCGGTTTTATGGGTCATATTCTTTTCCTCTACTCGTCAATGTAGTGCTTCCATCGTTATAAGAGTTTTCCCTAGTGGCTAAGAAAACCTCCAAGAAGATTGATCATAAATTCTACTGCCATCCTTTCCCCAAAGGCAACAGTTTGATCTACACTGATCAGACCATTTTATATCCATTGTTATTTCGTTTCATTGCATATCCTCTGATAAATGGATATACAGTATTGCTGTCAGAGGGAAGTTCTTCCAAGAATATCGGTGTGGTAAGGATGGCGTCAATGTATTAAAGTGGCAAATCTATGAGAAGCCCGAATACAAAGTTAATTGGGCAACCTTTGTGTCAATGTCTAAATATCCTAAACAACCAAAATTGGAGTACTGTACTTTCCCTGCCCCTTTGAAAAGGAACTGTGGAGGAGGCAAAGTCGATTAGAATTAAGGACAGGTACCGTTACGAGCTAGGAAACAGGGGGGGGGGGAATACCAAGGAGACAGGCACAGCGTCAATGAATGCTCCCGAAGGGCTATATGATCCTTGTCTAAATCTAAGAACGCCTAGAGTTACTTTAAGAACAAATATATTGTGTTTGGCAAGTGTGTGTAAACTACCACGTCACGGCAGTCCGAAGGTGGAGGGGGGGAGGGGTGCGTGACGTGGTGAGTCTGTGAAACTCAAGTCAGTATAGTGCAACAGACGGTTTTAGCTGTTTCCGGGCGCTTCAGCTCTGCCGCAATGTAACACACGTGACTCGTTCTTAGATGTATTTCAAGATTAACATTTAAAATCGTTGAATCATGGGAACGAGATTTTAGTGAATTGTGATCGTGAATTATGAGGCAATGGAGGCGATACATTGCGTTACGTGTTGCTGGCGCCTTCATCCTTTTGGTGTGTCTACTGTATACCTCCCGTCCCCCAGGTGAGTTGTACACACACACACACACACACACACTTATTTCACCCTAACGCTACCAGGGAGGTTATGTAAGATCAGCATTAGGGTGGTTAATCTTCATGTGATATAAGCTAAGGTTTCTATCTTTAGGCGATTCCTTGACTGTATTTGTGATAAATGGATCAAGTGTTAAGATCTACGAAAAAAATGACATTAAGCTTTGGCGAACTGCTAAAAGCCACTGCTCAATTTGTTTGATTTTAGATGGAATGAACCACTGAGTCAAGCATTACAAAGCTCAGTACCGTAAATTGCCTGTGCGTCTGTCTGTCTGTCACTTCAACTATATAATACAACATAAATTAAATACTTAAAATAGCATCACATGAACATAAACACAGATAAATATACAGACAGATAACACCACAGACGCAAAATAACACCGAGTTCAGCCAAATTAGATATATTTTCGTTTTCCTTTTTTTTTCAGAGGGAAAAAGACCCCCGCCACCTTCACCCAGTCAAGGTGATGTACAGGTGGATAAAGATGAGCAGGTTAATGACCCTCTTTCCTTCTGCCGTACGCCGAGCGGTCCTCAGACTCCTCACCAACACTTCCTCAAACTCGTGGATATCTTTAGGTAGTGCTTTGCTGTCTTTGTGTTGGTGGTTGAGTTTATGTGATAAGTTTTTTTAATCACTTTCTCTCTCTTTCGCCATTCGTTCAAGGAAAATAATTTTCTTTAGTTTGGTTGTCTACAGTTCCATACATAGCTTTGTAGTGTGACTAATAAATGTATGCTTTTCATGTGTAGAACATTTTTATGTATACTGTATATTCAATAGGAACATGTTGTAATTGTGATCATTTATGTAGCTTTGTCATTAAACATACTTTTGTAAGAAGTATGTAAATGAGGACAGGTTGTAATGTTATCTATCATTGATCCCTCCCATCTTAAAGCCTGAAGGAGGCGCAGCAGGAGGGTGTTAATAACATCCTGCTAGTGGAGAGCTCCTGTGCAGTCAACCCTAACCTCCGCGTCTGGTGTGCACTGGAGAGGTACTGTGCATTCACCCCACTCACTCACTTCTTCCATACAGTAGATGAGTTATAATCTCGGCTGTTGAAATTAAAAAATATATATAGACGAAACTTTAAGAATCCATTTTTGTGTTTCATTTTGAGTGAGTTACATCGTTGTGTGTTCCTTGCTACAGTCTGGCGCGGCAGAACCCGCAAGCGGTAGTGTGGTACGTCATGACGTCACAGGTGGTGGACTTGCGGCAGGTTGTGGCTGGTCGCCTGCTGGAGCACTACCACAACCTGAGGGTGGTGACGGTGGACCTGCGTCAGGTGTTCTACAACACACCACTGATGGACCTGTACACCTCCACCGCCTGGAACCACAACACCAGTGAGTTACCACCACAAAATGAGTGACACACCTCTGAGTTACTGACACACCACTGAGTTACTACCACACCACCACAAAAGTATCTAACAAAAATACTTATTTAAAATATTATAAATAATTATTAGCAAAATTGCACACCTTAAAATACTGTAAGACTTACTTTTTGGTGGTTTTAGGCCAAAAATTAGATTTTGCTGAAAATCAACTATGGGTTTCCAAGGTGTGATTTAGGGTTTGTGTGTTATTCTGAAAGTACTTAATTAGTTAAACCCCTTAAATTTCAATTCTGAGAAAAAAGGATATTTTGGTAGATTTATTATAATAATAATCTATTAATTGTTATTTAAGGTCATAAGAAGTTTCCAAATGTTCTTATATTTGCTTAAATAATGAAGATAATTTGACCTGAGAATCTTGGGCAGTCCTCGTTCCTCGTTATACTGTAGTCGAGTTACCAAGTCATTAATATTGATCCTGACAGTGATACAGCCGAAAATCGATCCACCAATCACAATCACCTTTACATACAGCCTTACTTTACCAAGTATTGCCAGCACGAGATCCAGGGTGGGGTCGGTGCATCTTTGACTGACTGTACATGTTTAGGTTTAAATACATATACAGTTTATCATAGGGTGTTATTCATATACAGTGTTAACTTTGACATGACAGAAACACTACATACAAGTTCAGGTATAAAGTATCATAATTATATGACTATGAAGGATTATATTAGTGTAGAACAGTGGAGCCTTAAGGAGCAGAGGTGGAAGATGTGTTTCGTGTCCAGGAATATGAAAATAATCTCAATCTTTCAGACTTACCTCGGCTATATTAAGCTGAGTAATAATAACCGTGTGATAATTCCTGTATGTGTATTATATAATCCTAATCTATAATTGTACTAACACATCAGACGAGTATTTTGAGGTTGAGTTTCAATAACCAATGTGGATGATGTAGTGTAGATAAGACGCAACCCATTCCTTATCATTCAGTCTCTGTGTTGACTTGATTATTGTAGGTAAACTTTATCCCATTTACTCTCGATTCTTCACACTCCAGGTTGGCCCGAGATAAACCTGGCAGACCTCATGAGGCTCGGGTTAGTGTGGCACTTGGGTGGGTTCTACGTGGATACAGACGTGGTGTGCATCAGGTCACTGGCCTCCCTGACCAACGTGATAGGCTGGCAGGAGAGGTCCACCCTGGGCTCCGGCGTCTTCCACTTCGACAGTCACCACCCTGTCCTTCGTCGGGTGATGGAGTATGCTGCAGAGACCTTTAAGGTGAGTACTCTTTCTCTCTCTCTGAAAAAAAAGCATTGATCAGATGCATCAAGACTCAAAGGACTGTAAATTGCTGCCTCTTCATGAGCTTCTCTTTCTTTAAATTTTTGTTCTAATATCAATGTGATTAACATATATTTATACAAGAATTCAGCATCCAACTATAAGAGGCTTATTGAAGTTACGCCAAGCGAACGTTCGTCTGTGTTCTACCAGGTGTGACACTCGTTTATGATACTGATGACTCCTGTGTCCTCCGCCAGACGAACAGGTGGGGCGCCAGTGGACCTGTAGCCTTGACGCATGTGATGAAGGCAGTGTGTGAGAAGGAAGTGTTAGTGACGGGAGCTGCCACTCGGTGTCACGGCGTCACTCTCCTCCCCATCAGAGCCTTCTACCCCGTCCCCGCCCCTGTGTGGAAGACGCTCTTCACCCGCCAGACCCCCAGAGACCTCACCATGGTAAGTTAAACTGGTGACTATCAAGGAGGAATTAAGAATGTCTTGTGTGGTGTACCCTACAGAGGCGCTCACTGTTTTTTTTAACTTAAATTTAACACCTTAACATCAGCCCCCGTAGATACTGATAGAGGTCATTTAATACTTCAATTTAACACCTGCTTAACACCTGTCCCCCAGAGATATTGATTGCGGTCATTTATAATTCAATTTAACACCTGCCCCCCAAGAGATACTGATTGAGGTTATTTATACTTCAGTTTAACACCTGCTTAACACCTGCCCCCCAGAAATACTGATTGAGGTCATTTATACTTCAGTTTACCACCTGTTTTAAGTCCAGTTTACCACCTGTTCAACACGTGTACCCCACAGAGGTACCCACACTCGTACATGATCCACATATGGAACCAGATGAGTCGCAGTCAGCCTTTCTTCAGGGGATCCAGTAGCATCTACGACCAGGCGGCCAAGACTTTCTGCCCCATCACCCACGCCCACCTACCCACCCACAACTAACCCACCTACCCACCCACCACTAACCCACCTACCCACCCACCACTAACCCACCTACCAGCCACTGCTGATTGAGGTGAGTGTTGGTTGAGGGATGAGAAAGGTAAAAAGAGAAAATGCCATAAACAAAGTAGTGATGGTGGTAGTGTGACGATTAGCCATTGTTTCCGTTGACCTTGGACTAGTTACTGCATAGGTCTTGTACAGTGATCAACACCGTTATTTGCCAGTTCTCTTATCATTTTTTTTTCTGGGATGAATTGTCACTTCTGGAGTAATCTCACACTGATCAACAATCTTTGCACTGTTTTCTTGGGCGGAGTTACCAGGTAGAGACAGGGGAGGAGGGTGGGAGAGGCTCAACGTGCTGATCGGGCAACTGCAGGGATTAACACGTCCTCTTGGAAGTATGCGCGGAATATCATGAAAATGGTGGCATCGTGTCCGTGTGCATTGTCCAGCCTTCATGTGAACGAGACAATCTGAAAGTGTTGGGGTTGACCGTGCATCCCACCCCCTTGCTCTCTCACCCTCGCTCAGCTGCTCTCCTCACACCCACACCTCCCTCTATACACTCTGTTTCATATTAATATAAATAAGGTATAACGAAAGAAAAATAGAGAGAAATAAAATGCTTCCATAAATCGTCTCTGCTATGCACTGTTGGCAAATACTGGACATTGCACTGGCTCCAGGATATAAATATCTGTACCTGCGCCAGTATTGGTCGGTGCCGTCATAAGACTGGCACAATGTTCCAGCAGTTCACAACCCTCATTCCCAAAAAATTTCACCCTTACAATTTTCTAAGCTTGTCACTCCTTACCCATGTGTAGTCCTTGGCCAATGGGACGACTGCGGTATTCCCAGAGGATATAGATAGGGTGTCCCAATAAAATGTCCTTGCCTCCCTGAGACAATTTGAGTTGGGAGGGTGGAGGCAGGGACATTTTTCTGGAGACACCCGGCCTATATATTCTTATTTGATCCATGAGAAGGTCTGTATAAGGGCAGTCCAGACAAGGACAAGGCCTTCTCTCTCTAGTTCTCCATCTAATACACTCTCATCCAGGACCACCTCTTTCTTCCAGGACCGTGACGACCATCTTCTTCACCCCGCTACCAGCCACAACCAAGTCCTGTCTTCATATAACCAACTTCTGATTGTATAGTTTATTATATAAGTCATTATTGTAACGCTGTGTTTGGCTTTTCTCCTACTGTTCTTACCTAACTTTATGAAACCGAAATCAAATGAATTACAAGTCAGTAATCCCTACAAGCGGGTGTTAGAGGGAGGGAGCTTGTCTCGGCGGGTACTTTACTTTACTTCCTCTTCACCGCTATCTACTTATCTATCTATTTCTACTCACCTACCTATCTATCTATGTATTAATTTACCAGTCGAAATTTAATGAGTTAATCCACCTATTTATATATTTTTTTTATTTACAAACCAAATTTTACTGAACTATCCACCTAATGTTTATCTTGCTATATATCCACATGGGTTGTCTACACGCTTACAAAGTTAGTCAAAAGAATAGTAGTGGAGTAGATTATGATACTGCAGCATTAATTTTGTAAAAAAAAAAAAAAGGCCTAATCTTGAAAAGTAAATCTGGCAGGTTGGCAACCCTGCCAGATGAGTACACGTCGTGTCTCGTGTATTAATTTACCAGTCGAAATTTAATGAGTTAATCCACCTATTTATATATTTTTTCTATTTACAAACCAAATTTTACTGAACTATCCACCTAATGTTTATCTTGCTATATATCCACATGGGTTGTCTACACGCTTACAAAGTTAGTCAAAAGAATAGTAGTGGAGTAGATTATGATACTGCAGCATTAATTTTGTAAAAAAAAAAAAGGCCTAATCTTGAAAAGTAAATCTGGCAGGTTGGCAACCCTGCCAGATGAGTACACGTCGTGTCTCGTGACCTGTGTGGAGTAAAGGGTCACGGGTCTATCAGTTCTCGTGTACCCACAAACCTCCCCCCACCATTCCTCACGACCAGAGTTGCAGGACTATCCAGTGTTGCAAGACTCCTCACCGACCGCCCTCCCAGCGACGCAGCCACTGCAAGCATTCTCCATCATGGGCTTCCCACACGCCCTGCTCCTGCAGCAGCACTTCATGAACTATCAACTCCTGTATAACCAATACCTCATCCCCAGCCTCCTATTGTCTCTCAACTTCCCTGGCTCGCCCGACAAATCTCCTGGCAGGCCACTGGGAGAGGAAATCGTGCAACAATTTTTTCGGGACAAAAACAGTACTCAAGGGTGGCCGACAATGGAGAAAAAATACAAATATTTCCTTCAAGCTACCCAAAAGTTTTCGAAGAAGGAAGATCTTCGGATATCCGTAATGGCCAACCAACTGGCCCTCGCCCATCTGAGTCAGGTAGTAATGGATCTCCTCGGACCAGCCCACAACTTCTTTGCCACTCACGCTGACCTGCCCTCGAGGCCGCCCCCTTCACTAGGTACGTTTCTTCCTTGTTTTGCTACCGAATTTTGGAAACCAGTAACTATCATAGTATGTAATAACTTAGCCACTTGGCGAACATGTGATAGTTATGCTGTTACCCATGGCACACTGTATAATACAAAGACATGAGGAATATTTTAATCAATACACGGGAAGGGAATCGAGAACTATTCTTAACGGTTCTTCATTTATTAACGACGTCATTCAGAATAGACAATTACACTTTCAAAACAATAGAGTACCCTCAGTATAACATCGTGTAAAGGAAGTTTACCACAGGGTACCATATTTATATGCAGTATTTCGCCATGATGAATTCACCGACTCCCCCACACTCACGTCTACACTTAAACACCGCCAAACACAGACTCTATGTTTAAAAATCGAGCTCATTTGCTGCTGGGTATAAAACTCCCAGACCAGGCTTCACCCTATCAGCTTAACGATGCCTATTATGTCACTCGCAGATCACAGTGATTGGCTAAGGTGTAGGCATACAGGCAGGCACTTGATATACCCACAGCAGCTTGGAGTATGGCGGGAATATTATCTCAACTAAATTCTCATATATTTTCTAAAAAAAACACGATAATTTACTCTAAAGACATGGCACTGCTACATGGCTAAGACCAGAAGGCGTTGTTCAGTTTACAGTAGTATTTAATTTGTTCTACTGATGTTCTTTTTTTCGAGATCAGTGGTCCTAACCTAACCATTAAGGATAGTGTCTATAAAGTCTAGGACCTATTAGGACTTGGATCCATTTTGACCCTTCAACAACTGCTGCGACACGGAAGGAGCTCGTCAATACTATACGAGTATATATAAACATAATTCACAAGTGTGCCATACATCTGTTTTTTCCCCACAGAACAAAAAAAGTTGATCTAGTACTACAGTACTCACGAACTCCACCAACAGTGGCTTTCATGGTATGGCTATACTACTGCATTAACTTACTAGTGGCAGCCTAGTGTTTCTGGGTACTAATGGGTATTTTCTCCCTCGTCAAAAATAACCTGCACAGAGGAACTGGACACCATACTCGCAGCTGTGAGAGGATTTGCAGGTCAGTGATTCTTTCTTCTCTTACTAAGAACATTTGCACAGTCAAAACAAAATACAATATAGTACAGTACTTGAACATCTGTCTTTTTATGAATATTTTGCATTATCCATTGGTTTCCTAATTAAATAATGACAATGTCAGTGTATAACTGATGTAATGTAGATTTTTTAGTGTGTGTGTGTGTGTGGTTTAATTCAATAAACACAACTGAACACTTTTATTTCAGCCCCCAAAGGCTACTCCAGCAGAGACCAATATGCTGCACTCCCAGGTAGTTACAATATACTGTATTTATTTACTAATTACTGTAATTTTAACCTTGAGTACATACTGTGTACATAGTACTTTGACTTGTTAATTTGGAAGTCACTATTCACAATACACACTGTATTTGGCAGGGTTGGGCAATTTAAACCAATGGTTTAAACCAAACAAAAGCATTTTTTTTAATCTATGCCCTTTTTCATGGTTTTAATGAGTTTTTTGTTGGTTTTAATTACTTACAGATGGTTTAAATGATTTATAGTAGATTAGGAAAAGGCATGTGATTATAATAGGGCAAACAGAAAAGCAATATGGTAGGCATTACAAGTGTATGGGGTGGGAAATGTCATTATTTATAGATACATGTACTAGCTAGCTCCATGTGTGTGTGTTTGAGTCACCAAAGTTGGATTATGTTATCAGGACAGTTTCCATGGCTGGTGAGCATCCGAGTCTCCAACTCTGAAATGACCAAACATCTGTGTGGGGGCACACTTATCTCCCCTAATTGGGTAGTTACTGCTGCACACTGCCTCAATAGTGAGAAGACACCATCTTTGGAGGTGAGTGAAAAGGAGGAAGAGGACCTTGGTGTTTGTGGTTAATATAGGGAGGACCTTATTGTTGGGGTAAGTGTAAGGATATTTTGTTGCCGGATAATTTGTCACCAGTCTATTGAATACTGTGTTACATTTATTAAATTTAGATAATAATGTATATTTTAAAGGTGAAGAAGCCATGGTTATACTGAACCAGTGACAAAATGTTCTAGAACCATCAATGTCAGAGCTGAAGGAGAGATTACTTTAGTGTTGGAAGTCAGTATTTCCTTTAAGGGAAGGAAAGAGGGGATTCATCCTCCCCACCCCCAAGTGACCACAAAGGGGCATATCTTTTCTTAAATTTTGCAAGGTATGGTTTAGATATACGTAGCATGAATTTCACCAAGAGAATGTCGAAATGAACTCATCTTGAAAAATTAAAAGGTGCCCCTCTAATACATATTTTGTATTAGTCCAATTATTCTAATGAGAGCTCACATCGAAACATTGTCATGTATGTTAGTAATCCAGTTAACACTAAACATAATACCAATGCTTTTTAGGGAAAAGCATAAATATTGTACAGTACTGTACCTTCATATGTAAACAAAGGGTTAGTGTCAGACAGGTAAAATATTAGTCACTCAGAATTAGCAAATCTAATTTATTATTTGTTCAATGTTTCTGTGACATGAATCTGTACACATAGAAAAAGACTTGGTGAAATTAAATAACTCTTCTGTGACCTCTCTCGCCTTCACCCCATCATCGTCATCATTGTCCAGTTAAGAAATTTTTAAGGACTTACAATAACGTAATACAAGGGTGTTCAAAAAGAAAATTACGCTGATAGACAGGACCCAAACAAAAAGGTTCTAAAGGTACTGTACTGTTTTTTGGGCCCCGAAAGCTGAAGTGTCAAGAGACAAAGTGTTCAATACACACTACTACAGTGGACTTTAATCTATGAAGTTGATAAAGAGGGGCAGTTGTTTGATGAGTGTTGAGGCCTGAAGATAGTGCATAGGCTTGGAGGGAGGGTAGAGGAGAGGTGCAAACTTTGAATCAACCCCTCTGATTTTTTTTTAGTGGAAATCTCGGAAGTGAGGGAGGCAACCTCGGTGTTGAAAGCAAGGGAAAGAGAGGGAGAGGGCTTCAGTGCTGGAGGAGTGTGAGAGATGACCTGGTGTTTTTGTGTACCTGTGTGGAAAATGCATAGAATCTATTAGATGGTGAACTGGTAAAGTCAAAAGAGGGTTAGGAATTTGTGATACAGTCAGGCCAGAGGGTGAGCAGGCTGTTCGACCCTTACCTGATGGTGAGTCGCTGTGCTGAACCTCCCTACCAACACACATGTTACTTGAATGATCTTACAACCATTGTGAGGGACACTACCGTTTGTGTTAATGCAAGAGGTTTATACAGTCATTGCGAGCAATCGTCCAGATTATACTTTGAAAAAAAAATAAATAAAAAATTCAATAGGCATTACTTACAACTTCAATTTTGTAAAGTAAATACGATTTACAAACTTCTAATAGCAGTGGTTCGAGGTACTGAACGGCTGCCCCTCATACTCCATCATGACCCCCCTCCACACACAGCTATGGTCATGTGAATGTGTATGGTGTGGTAGGTTGACACAACGGGTATGTAAAATATTATTTCACCACATTTGTCTTTCTTTCTTGTTGTCTACATATCTATATGTGTCTGCAAAGCCACATCAACAAATTTGCTGTTAATGTAGCAGTAATTTACACGCAGACCACAGGCCCCTACTTAACTGCAGATTTTTAGTTAATGAATGAATTACTGTACTAAAAAAGATTTTACTGTAAGAACCAAAATATATATAGGCAAGAGGAAGTTAAGGAAACATGTAAGGAGTCTAGCAATGATGTCAAAATTGACAATTTAAAACACTCTAGTCAGGTTGAAGCAAATAAAAATAGGTTGCCCTGGCTGGGATTTGAAATTTTGCCATGTCGGCGAACGGTTAGAACAATATAAGGGGCGCTCAGAGCAGTTAACTCCTCGTCAACCTACCACCCATACATTTTGCTCAGCTGTGATGTTACCTGACAACTGTAGTTATAGTAGTATTGTACATATCTTCTGAGTGCAGTACAGTATACACTGAATTGATTTAATGCTATACTAAATCGTTACATTTCCTTTTTCTCGAATGTAAAGACTTTCCATTTATCGTTTGAAACTAGTCTGTACTATTTTTGTATTTAGTACAAGCATTTATATCAATCTTTAAATAATAACACGGGGAAAGAGCTGACTAGAATGAGTGTCCATTGTTCTAATATTCTCCATAATTTCTAAAATCATTCCTGATGTTATACAGTATTACTGTGTAAGTGCAATAAAAACCCCTTTTTACAGAGAAGTGACATAATATTCTTAACCAGTATTCTGTTAAGTAACATATGGTAGTACAGTACTGTACAGTATATTGTAGCAATATTGATGGTAAATTCCAAGCATGAAGTTGTAGTGGACGTCTCCCCTACAACTGCGTATCGCATTCCAATGTGCCGCCTCCCCTAGCAACCAAGCGAGAGCTGTCCCCAGATGTTACCGTATCTTAGCAACGGAACTAGTCACCGGCTACTTCTCGGGTTTTCCCAACATGTCTCATAGAGGACTGGCGGCTGCTGCTGGGTGTATATAAGCTCTGTCTCTCCATTGAGATTCATTCTGCCCATTTTCCTGAACAAGCAACATCTCCTCCAGCAAGCTCCACGCTGTTAACATTTCATTCAACCAGGAGGCCAGCAACAGGCAACATCTTCTCTAACGAAGCTCCTGCACATCTACCTCCTTCAACAAGCTACTCACCGAACGTCTTCTACCGTGCAGCCCCTCACCACACGGCACCTCCAGCACCAGACTGTCTATCATATAACTTATATATTATACAAGAAAACCACATTAGAGTTTCCTTCCATCCTGAGTGCTAGACAACATTAATATCTCGACACCCATACAATGGTGACTCCCGGAGATTAGCATTCACACAGGATGGAGGAGACACTGATCACGCTCCCAGTCTTCAAGCAGACACCAGCTCCTCTTCCTGCCTCACGCACCACATTCTGACGACCCCAGCACACCCGTCATGCCTCAGACGCCGACCCCGACCCAGCAATAACCCCTGACGCGGCCTCTGTTCCCGAATCCGGACCCACACACACCCTCTTTTCTCCCGCAGGTACTCCCTGCTAATGTCCTGCACCCTGCTGCTGTCGTGGACCCAGCTGCTGTCACGAGCCCTAATCCGCTTCTGCTGACCCAGCCCCTGCTCCTGATCCAGGCCCACACACACCCCAGCAGGCGCATCTGACGACCCTGTACCTGTCGTGAGGGAAGCACAACATTCATCTCCTCCACACACCCTTTTTCTCCCTTCTCCCACAGATAGTGTGTATCTAGACAGTTGTATATCAGCGATCGGCTCATCACGCCATCGCCGTTGTCTCACATGAGGCATGCACCGCCCGGTCTTCCTCACATGTGCTAAGCAACTCTACAAACAACAAGTCTCCTACACCGCCTGGAGGGGAGGGGGAGTATTGTAGTGAACGTCTCCCCTACAAACTGCGTATCGCATTCCAATGTGCCGCCTCCCCTAGCAACCAAGCGAGAGCTGTCCCCAGATGTTACCGTATCTTAGCAACGGAACTAGTCACCGGCGACTTCTCGGGTTTTCCCAACATGACTCATGGCGGCTGCTGCGGGGTATATAAGCTCTGTCTCTCCATTGAGATTCATTCTGACCAATCTTCTTGAACAAGCAACACCTCCTCTGCCGCTGCCTGGCGACCCTCGCCTCTCCTCCGCCTGCCTGGCGGTCCTCGCTCCCGCCAGCGAGCATGTCCTTCTCTGAGATTCCTCACCAACCAACTCTCATTCTGCCCATTTTCCTGAACAAGCAACATCTCCTCCAGCAAGCTCCTAGCTGTCCAGCATTCATTCAATCAGGAGGCCAGCAACAGGCAACATCTTCTCTAACGAAGCTCCTGCACATCTACCTCCTTCAACACGCTACTCACCGAACGTCTTCTACTGAGCAGCTCCCCACCTCACGGCATCTCCAGCACCAGACTGTCTTCATATAACTTATATATTATACAAGAAAACCACATTAGAGTTTCCTTCCATCCTGAGTGCTAGACAACATTAATATCTCAATACCTCTACAAAGTCTATTACTGTGTAAAGAACAATTCGTATCTTCATGTCAATGATGGATCGGTTTTTGTATGTGCACTCAACATAAATACTGTTTAGAGCTATGTTGTTATTATCATGTTTACATGATGCTTCACTCACCATAGCTTGATGTTATGTGACCACTGGCTCATGTTGTTATAAACCCGACTTTCCCATTATATTCTGAGATATTATACAGGTAACCAGAAACACACACACACACACACACACATTTATTATATGGTTTGCTTCATTTAATAAACATGATACTGGCATCACTCATCATTCTTCAGTAGCGTCGTCAGCTCATACGGTATTTATGAATAAGTGATATCTCCGTTAGTCGGAACAATTAGTGCAAAGCACTGCCGGGAATGAGAGATTTCCTGGTAACAAGACGACTCTCTCAAAGCTGTGGAAAAATCCCCCATCCCTGGAAATTTCCACGTACAGTACTGGAAAATTTTCTCAGACTTTCCAGAAAATGCGCCTGATTTTCATCTCTCAAACCTGGTAAAAAATCCCCCATCCCCAGAATTTCCAGGAAATTTCCAGGCACCAGAAAAATTTTCTTGAAATTTTCCAGAAAATCGTTCCCAAAGTCAAAATTTTCCCCAAAATTCCAGCTTTGGGAATGATTTTCCGAGAAAATTTCAATTACGGCTATTGGAGAGTTCGGTTAAGAAGGATTCCAACAAATGGAGATATTACTATATTCTCCTTCCCACCTCGTGTGTCGAGTCTTGACCCAAATCAGTCTGTGTGTAGGTGGGGAGGTTCAGCACAGCGACTCGCTGTCAAGTAAGGGTGAAACGGCCTTCTCACCCTCTGACCCAACTGTATCACAAATTCCTGACCCCAACTCCATATAGAACTACAAGTATCCCTTGTTATACGAATGGGTTGGGTTCCTGAAAACCATTCATTAAATGAGTTCGTATTGTAAATAAAAGAACATATGGAAAATATAGGGTTAGTTCCCCAATGACAAAAATACCCCCAAAACAGGAAATCGGTTCACAAACAACAAAAAACCTACCTAACTGATGATAAATAGTACACAACTACAGGTACTACAGTTTACTACCTAACACATGAAAAACATTAATAAAATACTGTATAACTTTGGTACACTACCTTATGGGAGGGCAGTCTGGGTTTACCACCACAAGGGGGTGAGCAGGGGTGGGTGAGATGAGGAGGGCTGTCCACCTCATCACTGCTGTTTGCCAAGGACACCACAGTCACACCAGAAGTGGAAGGAGTGGAAGAAAATATACTGATAGAGGGAGTGGGACTGGAAGCTGAAGATGCAAGAGGATAGGGTGGATTGTCTTACCTTGATCCTGTGCTATTGTTGAATCTCAGTGTAGACTCTGATGTGTCTCTCCACATTAGAGGCAACTGCATCATTCCTTGCTTGAACTCATCAGCAGCTTATAAATTGTGGCGACAAAAGAAGCAGCCAGACCGAGATCTTTCCCAATCTCTGTAGGGCTATCACCACGTTCATGATGCTTTATTACCTCCAGCTCTGTCTCGAGTCACGGCCTTTTATATTTTATTCAGTGTAGTACTGTACTGGTAGCCGAAGTTTCAGCAGAACACTTAGATGCCATAATAAAAGATATAACATAAGGATTATACGAATACAGTAATATCTCCGTTAGCTGGAATCCCTCAAACCCGGAACTCTCCGATAGCCGTAATTTAAATTTTGTCGGAAAATCATTCCCAAAGCCGTAATGTTCTGGAAAATTCTGGCTTTGGGAACAATTTTCCGAGGGGCACATTTTCTGGAAAATTTCGAGAAAATTTTCCCAGTACCCAGAAGATTCAGGAAAATTCCGGGGATGGTTCTTTTCCGGGTTTGAGAAATGAAAATGAGGCACATTTTCTGAAAATTCCGAGAAAATTTTTCCGTTTCCCGGAAAATTCCAGAGATGAGGTTTTTTCCAGGTTTGAGGGATCATGTAATGGGCAATTTCTGGAATTAACGAAAAAAAATTTCCGTAACCTGGAAAATTAAAACAGATTCCAGAGATGAGGGATTTTTTTTACGGCTTTGAGAGTCGTCTCGTTACCCAGAAATCTCTCATTCCCGGAAGTGCTCTGCACCATTTGTTCCGGCTAATGGAGATATCACGATATCACTACATTAGTGATATCTCCGTTAGCCGGAACAATTGGTACAGAGCATTTCTGGGAATGAGAGATTTCTGGGTAACAAGATGACTCTCAAAGCCAGAAAAAATCCCTGATCCCCGGAATTTTCCGGGTATCGGATAAATTTTCTCGGAAGTTCCAGAAATTGTGCATTAAACGTTCTCTCGAACCCAGAAAAAACCCTCATCCTCGGAATCTTCCGGGTTTAGTACTGGAAAATTTTTCTCAGAATTTCCGGAAAATGTGCCTGATTTTCATCTCACAAACCTTGAAAAAAAACTCCTTCATCTCCTAAATTTTCTGGAATTTTCTGGGTACTGGGAAAATTTTCTCAAAATTTTCCAGAAGATGTGCCCCTCAGAAAATCGTTCTAGTTTTCTGAGAAAATTTCAATTCTGGCTATCGGATAGTACTGAATTTCAGGGATTCCAGCTAACGGAGATATTACAAAAATGGATAAACAGAGATTACTTAACACACACAACGAATGGCTGAAGGAAAGATGTGGGCTTGTTGGAGATGTGGGAGGGAGGGGGTATGATCAGTGAACAAGAATACGTTTTTGCACATCTCTCCCCAAGATGGCTGCCCCAGCTGACTCCCAAGGCGGGTGATTTGAATTTCTGCCGAGTCTCAAATTTGTATAAGCAGAGGAAGCTTTCATATCAATTTAGGAAATTCGTATAAGCGATTATTTGTATCTCGAACATTAGAATAGCAAGGGATACCTGTAACTTCAAAGTTACCTTTTTATTTTGATTGTAAACTAGTATTAATTTACTGGTTCATTAATAAAGACCTCTATTTTTTCAGGTGGTGGCTGGAGAGTTGGATATTAACCATGAGGAGGGGACAGAGCAGAGGTTCAATGTCACAAAATTCATCCAGCATCCTCAGCATATTTAGTGAGTACTTTACCTTCACTGTACACTCATCACACATTGATTTCACACCTATGATTAAAGAACTTTTAGTGTCACGTAGAATGACTGCGATAGACCTTTACCATGATAAATTTCATGTTAAACTCATTATTTTATTAAGTTTGTAAACTTTTATGCAACAGAATCATTAGGATTGAAAGGCAGTCGAATATTTTGTTCACAGGGAGGACCTTAAGAGGGTCAGGGACTGATGTAAGCCAACAAACTCTGTAATATGTAAAACAAGGGGTGTCGTCCCCCTCTGTTTAACTCATTAAACTTCTTTTCCAACATTTCCCCCCACGACTATATGTTGTGACTTCTCTATCCCTCATGTCTGGCTGTGCCTTGAGCCCCAGCATGCCTTCCATCCTTTCCCCACCTTAACCTAAAAAAAAAAAAAAAACCCTCACTGGAGGTCATCCATTATGCAAAATTACTTACTGTATTCCCATATATTTCAGACACTTTACTTTTTAATGTCTTCAAGATGAAAATTACCAGTGCATTTATGGTATCATATGATGGGATCACTGGTCACTTCAGAGTTATGTTTCCATTTATGGCATCTATAATATTGGAAAAGGGCTCAGCTGTGTGCTGAATTGCAACCTTGCTTCGCCAGTTAAGAAAGTTCTTGAAGGTAATATACTGTACAGTATGAGTGGATAGGCGATAGGAAGGGAATCCAACTGTCAAACTTTCTTCAAATTTGCCTGATGGCTGCTGGGACACCATGTCATGCGGAAATCATTGATAGTGATGATGATGATGATGATGATAATGATGGTGATGACTGGATTCATAATATAGAATAAAAGTTTATCAGGTTTGTTTGACAATCTTAAAATACAGTACAGAACACAAGCAGTTTAATAATTCACCAAACACATTTTCTTAATGTAGTTTACTTTAGGTTTATTTATGAAAAAAGTTGTTCTTACTTTTATGGGAAGCTGTTTACCCGGGCAAACTACTTCTTCCATTAACCAGCACACAGGGGCCATACAATGATGACATTGCTCTGTTACACCTTGCCCAGCCTGCAGTCTTCAATCAGTATGTCCAGGCCCTGCCTCTGCCTTCCCAACCCATGCCAGCTTTAACAAGTAGGATAAACATGAGCCTTTCACGTATCAATAAAAGAAATGTATTTAATATCTAATAGTAGCAATAACTGAAATTATCCTGGATCACTATACTATATCAATTAATTTTTTCATCCATTAAATGAAAAAAAAGTATTGATACATTATGAAGCATTCAAAGCCTAAGCCATTTGATGACTTATTGTGCCATGAATTCTAACATCTTAATCATGTTTCTTTTATATTTATTCTTTATTCTAAACATTTACTTCCATCACTCATATCTTAAAAATAATTCCATTTATTTACTCTCGTTACTGATGCAATAGAGGGTGTGTGTCAGGAGGCTGGATGGGGAGCGACGGGAGACAGTGCATCAAGTAGCAACGTCCTTATGTATGCTGATGTCCCTCTTCTCCCTCGTGACCAATGCCAAGCCATTTATTCATTTGTGAATGAGAATGAATTCTGTGCTGGAGCAGAAGGTTTTGGATTCTGTGCAGTAAGTATATTATATTATACAGTATATGTATACAAGGTATTGTGGTGAGCAACAATTGAAGCAGCTGTGCATTTATTCAGCTGATTTCTGTAGGATGGATAAAGGGGCACTAGAATCTCAAAGAAGTGGGGATATGATAAGGAGAGCAGTACAAGACAACTGTGTAAGACAGCATAGGGCTAATATAATTAGAAATATATACACAATTGATGATATCCTCAACTTGTATAAATAGTACAGTATGACTCTCACCATTCACATTTCGTAATACTGTACTTTTATAGGTACTCCTGCACATGCTGATTCCAATCTATGGTCCACAATTCGATTGTGAGGTAATTAATTAGTGGTCATAATGATGCTTGCATGATTTTAATAATAAATGTGTATATACCTTTAACAGTCTTGATACCATAGAGAAGAGGTTGCAGTAATGATGATCTAGATGTCTATTATGATGATGATGAGTGATCATGTTCAAGTTCTTGATGGTGTTACTGCTCCTCTTCTGGATCCTCAGAAGATGAGGGAGAAGCAGCCAAAGGTGGTTGGAGTCAGGGAGAGGTGGGGGTGGTCGAGAGGTATAAGGTTGGTGTAGGTTTTGACTGGTGGCACCCAGAGAGATAATTAACCTGCCATGTGGACTCCATACAGTTTATTTCAATCAAAACCTGTCAAATACAAATACTCAACTTACAAGAGTGAACTGAAGGTTTAAGTGTCATCAGATATGAATACATTTACCTAATACTAGCACACAAAGGAGTGCATTATCTTAATATCTACACACATTAGGCTGCATATCAATAATAGGAGTTGCTTAACATCCACAGCAAAACACAGAATAGTTTTACACTTACATGTCTGAGTTCAGAAGGCCTCGGTGTGTGTAGCGAGACCACATACTCGATAATGTCCATTGGCGTCTCGGGGGCTTGGCCATATGCTCCCTGTTATATCGTGGAGTGCCAACTCTGCATCGTTCCCTGCTACACACAACAATCATCCGACTACCCTTCTTTACTGCTTGTCTAGTGGTAAAGTTGGCGTGTGGGAAAAGATGGTGGAGGAGAGTCATGGAGTTCCTATTGCCACAGCAGTTACACTTTCTTTACATTTATTTGGGAATATAGTTATGGGAAGCTGTTGCACATTAATCTCACCTTTATGTTCTCAAGGGGCTGAGATGCTGCCCCTATACTGACCTCACAAGTGCTTGAATCTTGGATGACAAATTTGCAGATAACCATGCTTTTCCTATCATTTAAAGTCTTTTGGTAAACTTGACCTTAAACTATGTACAGTCAAAATCACTGATCTAGGGACAGGGTAAGTGTCGGAAGTCAGACCAGTGAAGAGTCAGGGTTTCGAACAAGTCCTCCTTCCCCGCCCTCCATAAAATGCTAGTTATGTAACTTTACACCATGGAAAGTAAGCTCCTAACTCGAAGGGTTAGCATTATAATGCTGTTGTATACAATATATTGCATTATAATTACAAGTTTACAATTAACTTATTTCATTAAAATTTCTTCCTTACCTCTGCATACAGTTTATTGTGCAGTAACATGATGAAATGCATAACTGTTTAGTGAATTGTGTATGGGACCAGAGGCTTTTCACTAGCCTGATTTCTAAGCTTACTCTGCCCCTATATTAGTGTCTTTGACTATACAACATTCCAAACATAAATCTTACAACCACTTCTTTTTGTTTCACATATTCCTGATATTGCCAGAACACTGATTATTAACACATGTCACTCCCATTCTTTCCTGTCCTGTTTCATGCCTCTTACATTCCATTCTCCTAATTTATCTAAGGAAGGCCATACATCATCTTACTATAGGGATATAATATTTGGGAAGGGGAATCCTAAATCATGTTCTAAAACTGTGAATTATGTTTTAGAAAGGTGTTTGTGAATACCCTCATCCTTACAACCATCATCACTGTTACTGTATAATACTCCCATTATTCAATCAGGGTGACAATGGAGGATCTCTGGTGTGCAAGACTGTTGACAAAGGCATCCTGAGTGGAGTCATGTCTTGGAGGGAGGGTTGTGCCCAGACTGATAAGCCTGGTGTCTACATGGACATTGGCAGGTACCTCCCCTGGATTCACAACACTACTGGCTTGTAACCTAACTGTTTAAAAAGTGATCCCCGAGTAACAAGGGGTAACCTTGAACAGCTCACAAGTGAGTGTTTATGAGTGCCATTATTTTAAGAAAGCAGGAGCTCAAACAACACTTGTATCCCAGTGTTCATTTAATAATGGTTATATCAGCATCTATGTAAATCTGACCTTGACTTCCTCTCTCTCAGTATTGAAGTGTATTATACCTAGCACCAGTGAACTGTAATGTTTAAAGATCAGGCAAGTCATTTTTATTATGATAGAACTGCTAAATATTATCATAAGATATTAATGTTTATTAATTTGCAGCTCTAACAGTAAGCAAAATAATATTTTTTTTCAATAGCATTACGGTATTTACAAGTTATTTTATTTTAACTACAATACAGTGAGAGAGGAAAATGGGAGGCGGTGGTGAACCACTATAATTAAAAGTGATGGCTGCTATACAGACTGTTGTTCTCTTAAAGCTTCCACATTGTTGGGTCAACACAACACAACATTTTCTACTTTGAGGAATATCCTGAAACTTAACAGCCTTTCAGTATTTGAATACCATATATTTACATAAATACTGCATAATATATACACAAAAAAGCAGAAGACTGTACAAGCATATAGCTAACCTTATTGGAGTGAGATAGGGAAGATTGTGCAAAATAAAATCATTTAGAAATATTGATGTAAAACAGTCCTGTATATACATTATAATACTGTAAGGTATCTTTGACTGCATTTGTCAAACTACACTAAGATAACCCAATGCAATTATATTTCTTTCCAAGCTCAGTAATAGTGAAGAACACATCCAGCCTTGTTAAAAGTATCTATGACAAATTCTTAGTCATATTTATTGGCTCACATAAATAGAAAATCAAATAATAGTTCATACGTTATTTTATACAGGACAAATTTTTCACTAGTCACAACTTGGTGAAAATTATTATTAATCTTACTTTCAAAACCATTCCAAAAACTAAAATCAGGAGAAAAAAAAAGCTTAAGAGAAGCAAATATTTTTTACTGTATAATAGAATCCTCAATATCATTCTGAAGTCATAAAAATAATGGTATATACACACACATAAATACTGCATTAACATGTTTAATAACTTAACTGACGCTGTACACAGAAACTGTCAGGTTTTGCTAGTGCCTCATTTTGGTGGGTCATGTTCCCCATCACATGTGTGAAAAATGTTTTTATTATAAGATGCATTTTGTGCTTCATTACTGGGTGGGGAAATTTTAAAATAAATGAGGAATCTCTAATTAACAGCAAGAATGAAGTGACTAAGGTGTAAGATGAGAGAAGTTAATGTACATACAATTCAATAACATGACTTTGTTCCCCAACCATTTTAATAATATATATGGGAAAAAATGAAAGCATTTCATAACAGATCTCAAGCACATTTTTTTTTACATGGCCAAAATTATACAATAATGTATACAAAAGCTACATAAATTTTCTTTAAAATTTTAGCATACAATTTCCCAGTTTGCAAAGAAAATAAATTCCCATCTTCATTTCATCATTTTGGTAAGGATTCTGAATCGCCAATGAGTAAATTAATCATAATGTTAATCTTTATTCACTGTGTCTTGCTTAATATTGTACCTTGTAAATGACAACACTAAAAATGGTTTTGGAGAAAAAAAAAAAAAAAGGAAGCCATTACCAAAGAAGCACCTTGAATTAGTGGATTCACAATAGGACCCACTACAGTACATTATTGTGATTTACAAAAATAGCCAATGTATCCTGCTATGAACCGAACACTACAAATACTCGTTAGTTAATACAGAATAGTGCCAGGCTCAAAGGAACTCACAAACATGTATAAGAAGCTCAAAAAGAAAGATAATTTATTGTATCAATTTTCAAGTACTGTATTACTTAGAATATGCACCTTACCATTAATTACCACTAAAATTGAAAAATAGCAATATTCAAACTGGTTTGTACATGGGGACGATCATGAAGATACTGTACTCATAAACAAATATATAAATTAATAGCATCATTTAACCTAACTACCCTAATTTAGGTACAGTTGGGTTAGGTTCCAACAGTAAATATCCGAAATCCCCCCCCCCCCCATATAACCACTATACAGTAACTATTTCCATAAAAGATTTGGATTATCAAACTTCTACCAAACTAAAACTTGTAAATCTATCCTGATTTTATTTATGTCAATAAGTAGATTAATACCTCGACCTAACCTGACAGTTTCTTATTTTGTTACAAGTACGTACAAATAAACAAAACCAATATACTGTAGTTTTATCATTGAATTAAACACATGTTATACCATGCATCATACTCCAGTTTAAGATAAGTATCGACAATTAAAAAGAGATGATAAGAATGTGGTAGTGTAACCGCCTTACCTATGATAGTCAACAAATATAAAATGCAACTTGCACAGGAAAATCTAGAGGTCAGAGCCATGAATATCCAAAAGTACTCTGGGAGTCTGATCATAATGTTTTCTTACACAGATGATTACCACCATCTGTCTATACCAACTTTCTTTTCTAGAGAAATTCTCAACATTAAGGATCACAGAGGACTACTGTATCAAGATCTATGCTAACTTACCCATGAATAATATACAATATGTAAAAAAGTGAGATGGTTCTACTTACACATCATTAAAATAACAATACAGTTTTTATGAAAGCAATGTATGGTATTATTACAAAGAATATCACATTTCAGAGGGTTTTAATGCTGGGTCAAGAATCTGAAGGATCAACAGTTATTGTGGTAACAAATATGGCATTTTCTGATAAGAGTATCAGGTAAAGCTACACATTCTAATGGCATTTTTTAAGGGGTGGGGAGGAAGATTTAACAAGTCTATCACTCTTGGTTGGCACTGTGGTCTGGGAAACAAGGTCTATGCTAGCCAGACTAAAGTTAACAATGATTATTAATCTGGACAACTCTGTATACAGTACCGTATCAAATTTCCAATAACTATCAAGCATCATAATTTACTGCCTAGTACTGTACTGTAAGTCCCCCAAACACGTCTTTGTTTCATATCTATAAATATAACAAATTTGTGTTGACCCATATTTATTCATAAAGGTTATTAATTCCAAGTCTCACTGGAATATTATATAAGCTGTCATACTATATTTTTTATAGCAGAAATTTGACTAAACATTACCCAAATAAAAAAAAAAACTCTAGGCAAAATGAAAATAACCTTTCTGAGAAGAAAATGCTTATATACCAAACCATAGATTCATATATACACCAGTATCAGAAAAATACTCCTGTGCTCATCATTCTCCATTTCTCTGGTGGTAAAATTACTAACAATATAATGAAATAAAGACAAAACTTCCTTAGCTATTAGAAACTACTGAAGTGGGAATGAACAATATTAAAATGTACCTAACATTATTCTGGTATTCTCTTCCAGTCCAGCTAGAAAAGCTACAATAATGATCTATGTTTCATCACATTCATGTCAACCTTCTTAAGAAGAAAAAGAAAAGATTACAGTACTACATTTGGAATGATTGGAAGGACGCATCAGTTATGTACAGTCACCCAAAAAAGTCCTGTCGCCTTTCACCCTGAACCCCGAGATTCAGACTCTTGAATCCGAATCATTTATGGACAGAATAAATTATCAGTGTCTACTGCTTCGGGTTCACGAGTCTGAATCTCGGGGTTCGTGGTTCAGGATGAGAGGCGACAGGACTTTTTTGAGTGACTGTACCACCAAGATGATCACTGGGTTGAAGCTTTACTTCACACAACACACACAAGTCAACCATTTACAGTGAACATTACTATTACCTCATTCAGGATGACACATTTATTGTTTAAAACAACCTCACGGTATTTATGATGTCATGTCATGTTGCCTTGAGCTAAAAATTTGCTCCCATTTGCAAGTAAATTTTCTAGCAGATTCTAATGATAGTAATAACAGTGCATAGCATAGCTCCTCCTTTTTCCCAAATATAAGGCCCCCCAAAAAATTAACTACAAAAAAAATGCCACTATAAACATATGCACCAGTACATTTAGTTTATAAATGGTTGAAGGAATTATGTACAAGACAGAGGTATTGTTCTGGCATAAACCTCCTAACTATAAATGACTTCACAAGACTAATGAAACGAATTATTTTTACTGTATCATGGTCAAGGAGACAATAATTTCTTCAGTATATGGTGCTTTGCATTATTAACCAAGTGTTTTTTGCCATTTACATTATTTGACCACTGTTTTCTACATCAGATAACCCACATTCAAGCTGTTACCAGACATTAAGCCTCGACACACTTCTTTATGAGCAATTTAATTTGAAAGTTACATAAATCTAGATTATGTTCTTGTAGCTCTCTAAACTTGGCTCCAGAATATTACCTAGGGTATCTATAAAGCAGTGAAGATGAAAAGGAATCTAGTACTAGAATACAATATTGAGTTAACAGCAGAAAATTACAATGAAAGACGACACAAATAAATGATCACCGAGGAACCAGAAGTCTCCTCTATTAACAAAGGTAAGATGTTGAATGCATGTAAATAATGACCTAAAACATGTATATCAATACTCCAGCTCAATGCAGAGGTATCCATGTAAGGACGAGTGGTAACAACCAATATACTGTATCTTAAATCAAGGTTCCTGACTGTTCACACACTATTCAGGTAATCAGGGCCTTGATTAAACCAAGTCTTATTAATCCAGAACCTACTTTAATTTCCAAAGGCCTAGTTACCAAAAGTATCATGAAGATCCAACACCAGCTACCAGGAACATTACCCATCTAGCCACGATTTGGTTATATGAAGCATAAGTATCCAGGACCCAAGGAGCAGATTACTATTATGCAGGTAATTGATATAACAGCTTCTGATGATCCTAAGTCTAGCTTTTTTATATTTATGTAATAAATGTTACACAATCACATTGACAATTAAAGCCTTGGATAAATGAGACACTGGTACTTGAATGGTTACCAGTCATTAACAAGGATTTCTCAAACATTTGTATTTGTAGCCTTATATGTGTAGCTAAAGAAAATAAATCAATCCTTATCCAAAACTTTGGTAAGATAAGACTGAGTGACTACTAATGTCCATCATGACTTAGACACGATATATCAATTTTCATGAACCTTCGCTAGTCCTCCAATAGCTCAGGTGTTTTTAAATGAATTTCCTCCACTAGCAGTTATTTTTTCTATTGGTTATCACGACTGAAGCAATAAACTAGCTTTCATTCACTTCTCAACCAAGTGTTAAGTACAAATGTGATGTACAGCTCTGCATATCATACAGTATCATTTACCCACAACCAAAGAGGAATTAACAGAGATCTGGGTTAAATGGATAAATCATACCACAAACTATGATTGGTATTCCGTAGTTTACTGCACTCTGAGGAAAAAAAAAAGAACCAATTCATAACTGTTTGGCAATGACAAATGCATTAATGCCTCCAAGTAAAGGTAAAGACTTAAGACAGAAATACTGTCCACCAGGACTGCTGAAGTATAGTAATGCTTCGACACAGAATCTAGACACAGGAACTTCTTTCGGGTAGGAATACATAATATGAAATGCAGATTATACAACACTAACCATTCTTCAACTTTAATAAAGGTTTTATTTTTTTATTTTGATAAAAAATTTACCCAAAGCATCTGACATAACGTATAACAAATGTGCAGATCAAGAAGTTGAGGTGACAGTTGTCCCACACTCCCTGGTGCACTATTATGGCTTATTCATGTCCATGCAAATGCTCAATGCTTCAGAACTAACACATGTTCATAAATTTATAGAACCATATATTCCACTGAAGTTGTGCTAAATCATTGTCTTTATAGCAAAATCAGCCTTTCCATATATAGTCGAGTATATTTAAAGAAGAAACTGTGTTAGACAGCATCTGTGGATATTTATACCTGTTTCCACAGCCCTTCTCTGTTGCTCTCTGTCTCACACACTTCTCCCTATATTTTTTACCTTAATAGATTTTCTGCATTCCTTCATTCACCCTACACGAGATAACTAACAAATTGAAACAAATGTTAGAAATTCCCCCACTTACAAAAATCTGCTATAATACCTTGTGTTTTCATTCCCCGTCGATAAATTTTTCATTAATATAATAAAACTGAAACATCATATTATGTACATTAATTCTGAGTCAATTATAACAGAGGAAAACAACAGCAACATCAGCAGAATCTATTTTTGTGTTATGGTTAAGTCACTGACAGCATCTATAAATGTGCATATATCAATGAGTAGGTATATTATACATTTTCTTTGCCAGTTTAGTTCATATCTGAAGACTATGAAATTATAGGTTATGCATCAAAGTCACTGGAAAATTTAAGTATACAAAACTTCTTCATGGTACAAAGGGAAATAATACTAACATACTTAATTTTTAGCTCTTTTTAAATTCCCTGTTTTAGCCACATCATAATTTAACATTGTGGTAACATAATGACATGAATAACTGATCTTAATATTGGGTGCTGACCATTAAATGAAGTATGAGTAAACTTTCACCAGTTTGTAGATGCAGTTCAAATGATATTGCACGAATGAAGAGATGAGTGGAGAACAAAATTAGATATGAAATCTTTTAGCATGCAAACCAATCAAAAACTATTTGTCCAACCACTGAATATCTCTAATAGACACCAGTAGGAACTTGTGTTTATGAGATATACGAGTATATAAAAAAATAAACTACAGTAGTCAAATGCTAAGTTAACAGAAAGTGCAGGTAATACTTGTAGATCTAAATGATAAGACATTAATTTTTTGCAAGAGAGATGATATAATTTCATTACTTAAGACGTGACTGAGAAGTGGAAGTAAAATAAGCATTATGTCATGGAAACACCTAAAGCTTGTCGACACTTCTCGTACACGACATAGGAGATGCTCACAGCCGGCGCTACCTTCATGAAGTTCGGCGTAATCCCACGGTACAAGCCAAATATTCCTTCCGTGGCAAATATGTGACGGAAGAGCCCAGACATGGTTATTGGGTATTCGTGTGCCACCCCTGGGGCAACCACTGAAAGAAAGGGTGAAGTTCAAATATCTCTACAGTATGGTATTTATAATGGATGTACAGTATATAAATTAATTTTCTCTCTTGAAGCCTTTCTCTTGTAACACAGGTTGCAATCAATAGGTATTATAAAAACAAATTTTCCCTTCTTTCTCTCCCATTCAAACATTAACCCTGGTTCAGTAAATGTGTTCTGCTATGGTACTCCCTTGCCACGTCAGATATCCCAGCACGTTAAAGTAAGTTACAATGCCTACAATGAATGACAGACTAGGAATTAGAGGACACTAATTTGCTTTTGATTCAAACACCTTGCATCATAACAGAGAAAGTCTTGCATGATAAACAATAATATATACTGTATAACACTCAAGTATCAACTTGTTCACTTTACTGTCTATGATTCTGAAAGGCCAAATTTAAAATGTGCTGGGAGTAAAAGAATGATATCTTCTAAGAGTCATGAGTTATCACAGTACAGTATAATCACACTACATTACCACATCTTTAACTACTATCACAGTGGAGTGATAAGTTTGTGTAAAATGTAAAGTGGCAGCAGGTGTCAAAAAATTATAGTATTGTAATTAAAAATATAAGGTAATAATAGTCACAGTTACCACATTACAGTGATTGATCACAGCTCATAAATAAAGCTGGTACTGACACTCAAGTTGTGGGGAAGTGAACACAGAAGGACCTCCCGCTTAATATTACAATCTTTTAATAAACTGTACCTGTCATTATTCTCAAAACTTTTGCCTGAATATCAAGAGAAAAATTATCCCCTTTGAAAGCTTCAGTTAATGGTTATATTTGGAGAGGATTTCCATGTCTTACTCAGGGACAAATGAGATATAGAATGTGCATGGTAATAGAAGTATAATGCTAGCATTTCTTAAATCCACTGATATATTATACAGTACTGTACTGTACATACTGTAGTTACACTTACCTTTAATAGAGAGAATTACAGTACTGCTTGTGTACAACCCCTTGTGCTACTTGCCTAAGTTTATTTTTCAGTTTTCTTAAACAATCTCCTCAGGTTAGGGCTAAATGATGAAGTACTGTAGCTTTCTTATAAGTGGCAATCATGGGTTGCACAGAACAGTACATGGTAAATAAATACTTAATCCATTTAAAGTAGAAATGATACAACAATGACTAACCTTGTGCTTGTAGCCTCGTACGAACAAGAGCAAGAGGGTAAGAAGCAAGCTGTCCACATGAAGAAGAAAATGCTCCACAGGCTGTTATGACAAATATAGAAGGATGCGTATATTCTTCATGATGCTCCATGTATGTTTTCTTTAAAGTTTCATATACTGCAAGATCAATTCCTGCATAAGGTATAATGCCCAGAAGATTTGGCAGGTATCCACGATAAAATGATCTAACACCTTCTTGTCTTAAGATCTTCTTAGCTGCATCACCTATACTAGAATACTGCCCTGTTTTTCTTAAGGCTAATCTAGTTTTTAACACCTGAAAGAGTAATCAGAAATAGATGTAGTAATAAATTAAACAATAAATTAAATCTTCATTAAACAAGCATACAAAAAAACCTAAATTTACCAAAAAAATTTTACACACAAAAAAAGTTCTGAACCACCAGAATAACAACACAAGTTCCGGAAAAAAATATTTACAATTTCAAAAATATATCTTGTCATTGATATGGTTGTGCAGCTATTTTTTGCACATAAAATATGAGCTATTATATTTTATGATGCGCTATGTATTATTTTCACTGATTATTACTGTGTCGCTACACAGTATTGGCTCAATTTTGGCACATGTAAAGTACAAAATAACAAAAGGATCGGAACCTATCCCCTTTTACTCATACTTAAATCTACCTATTACAATGAAGTGGATTTCAATAACATATCCACTTTATTGCCAAAGGTATACTGTATAAATCCACATCATCCACTTTACCTCACACTGCACAAGAACATCCATGCCTTAAACATATGTACGTTGGTACTTGAGAACCTTCAAAAATATTCTTTGCGGCTCTGAAAGCATCTAGTATCTGGAGCCTTACCTACAACTATTAACACATTGAATAAGTAACAACTCAACTTACTGAAAGTATATCATAAGTATGATTATTTTACTTCAACTACTGTGTTGGTGTAATATGCTGGCTGTTGTTTTGAATGGCTGTGCCTCCCTACTGATATGAACGTCTGAATATTAGATTCCCTCTGAGTAATGACGTCGCTGTGGCTAAATTAGTCCGGTCCGGTTACTGTCTACGTTGATTTGGTTATCAACGTGAGATAGAGAAAATTTATGTGAAAGAAAATGAATAGGACAAAAGGCAAATCAGGGTCTGCTCAGGTGGTTTGGACATACAGTACCTATACCGACAGAATGGGAAATGAATAACTAGTAAAAAAAAATACAATTCACAGGTGAAAGCCGAGGTAAGGAATGCACTAGAAAAGAAAGAGGGAGAACCAGAAAGCAACAGTGTATGAATAAGCAGGGAGCACAACTGAATGATTATTGGGAAAGATCGTGTTCTTGATGATGAGGCTGATTTGTGCAAAGCATAATTGGGAAACCAGCTTAGTGACCTTGTTGTGGAAGGGGAGGACTATAGTATAATGCCTCTTTTAGGGCAGCAAGGCTAAATGAAGGGTAACAAATTAAGGAAAATTCTGTACTGGACTTGTAGGTGTATTTACTCAAATGTAAAAGCAATGGGACAGCAGTGCCCACAACAAAGACAAGACAAATAATAAAAGATAAAAATTTGTGGGTAGTGCTTTTGGGGGAAGCTCACTGGCAGACACTAAAATCCACTGCAGCAATGACAGGTCAACCACAAAAACACAATTACAATACTGAAAATTAAACCTTAAAACAACAGCTGTGGGTCATGACTTAAATTCCAATTTTACATTCACACAAGTTTTATGCTCTGTACTGTATTTGTCCCCCTCAAATAGGCAAGTATGTTTGTATGATTGCACAGGTTGAGGAGGCTGCATGTGTGTGTGTGTGTGTGTGTGTGTGTGTGTGTGTGTGTGTGTGTAATATAATAATAATAATAATAATAATAATTGACGGTTTATTGAAAAAGTTCTGCAGCCCGAAGGCTGAAAATATACATTGGACATAAATGACTTATTACATACATTGGTGGTTTAACAAAAGCCTTCATTAGAGAAAGGTAAAGGAACATACAGTGAACATACAGATTATTGTAGGTGTTGAACAGCAAACACGTAGTGTAGTAACTCCCCCCAGATGGTGTTATGAGGGACCTCACGTGGTGTAGTAATTCCCTCACAGATGGTGTTATGAGGGCCTCACGTGGTGTAGTAATTCCTCACAGATGGTGTTATGAGGGCCTCGTGGTGTAGTAATTCCCTCACAGATGGTGTTATGAGGGGCCTCACGTGGTAGATGGTGTTATGAGGGGCCTGACGTGGTGTAGTAACTCCCTCACAGATGGTGTTATGAGGGACCTGACGTGGTGTAGTAATTCCCTCACAGATGGTGTTATACGAGTGAGGAGTGGTCCCAGGCCTTCCTATCGTAGACGGATTAACACATCGCTGGTTGTTGTTGGGTCTCATGGGCCGTTATCACTGGGTACCTGGGACCTCACTGTGTGAAGGTTAACTTGGGTACTGTTGAGTTGTTCTCACTGACTTAAGCACTGTTCACCACTGTTCACCTCTGTTTAACACTGGTTCCATTCCTTTCCTAAATGAAATTGTAACTTCTGGCGAGAACTTGTTGATATTCCGGTGGGGAGGAGGGTTCAGGGGAGGGAGTTGGTATGGGCCAACTTAAAGTTGACCTGGCTGCTCCGAGAGGAGCGCCAGGTACGTCTTGACCCTTCGGTGGTCAAGGATGTAGTCAAGGATGTGTGTGTGTGTGTGTGTGTGTGTGTGTGTGTGTGTGTGTGTGTCCTTACAAGATTAACACAACAATAAGTAAACTCACCTCAAGGGGATAAATAGTGGTTTGCGAAATTCCTCCTGCAAAAGACCCAGCCACAAAACGTTCATATATTGTCAATTCTCTCTCTTTTCTTCCACCAAACTGTAGGACCATTCTTTTGGCTTGTTCATAGGCAGCAAACTTGATAGCTGATTCAGGTGCAATCTTCAGAACATTGATGCCATTACCTCTCCAGAGTGATGTAACACCACCTTCTTTCAACATGTACCTGAAGCAGCTAGCTAAGCCTTGAAACTGCTTTGTACCATGAACCTATAAAACAATAAAATAATTCAATCCATTAAATAAATGTACACACAATACCTTAACACACAAATCTTTCTTTGAAGCTACAAAAATAATGTGTACATATTGTACTTAAAAAAATTATAATACCGGCATGTTGATAACTGGAATAAAAATATTTGGCACATTAAATACCATAACAGACAGCAATGCACCGATATACTTCCTCCATGGTCAATTCATCATGCCATTCTAATACAGATACAGTATCAGGTTTGTAAAAATATATCAGTTGGAATTGTTAACATCCCATATGCCTTCAGGACACATGAAGACAGAATGGTCAGCACTGCACTCTACTGTACAGTAATTCACTTCCCTGCAGTTTAACATCTGCCCCTCATTCCTCACTTCCAGGCTATCACATCTACAGTACTTACTTCCACCAAACCATAGCACAATCAATGAACTGAATACTGTACAGTGTTCAGGCTTTATCTATCAATCTATTACTAAACCCTTCTTCCTCTCTTACATTTGCCTGAGATGGATAAGTTGTAAAAGATGGTGAATGTAAGGGGCCAGTAGTGCAAATAAGTGAGAAAATGACAAGAACAGACTCGAGACAACAAACAGAAATATTCCAGAGACTTCTTTTATATCCATAACTGCCATACATTTCTAAGTACAGTAACCCAACACTGTACAGTATTAAAAAAAATAGATTTCTGGTGTCTGAACTTTGAGACCGAGAACAATAGTTTAATAATTTTAGGGAGGTAGTGTATTTACACGAGGATACTGGTTTATTTAGTTACGGATGATGGTTGGAACCTTTTGAATTTGATGGTTAAACTCCTTGAGCATGGCAGCTTAAACCATCTCCTCCGAAGGATTACAAGCTGAGGGGAAAACATAATAAATCTATGCAATTCCATCTGTAACTTACCTGAAGGAAGACCTTGAGTCTGTCCAGTGGTGCTGTACAGGTTCTTGATACCATACCAGCCACTCCACCAGCTACCAGATGTCTCCACCATTTGCCAGACAACCATTCCTCTAGAGAAAAATCATCTGGCACTGCAAGATCCTCACCAATGTCAAGGTTCTGAAAGACAAAGGCAACATAAAGCAGTGAACATGCAATTCATGATGTACTTTATAAAGATGTACAGTTCAATTTTTTTTGTTTCAAAGTAGATCAAGTGCAATTTTTTTACAGTACTAAAACCTAAATCCTTACAAACTGCATGAGAAAGACTATAAAACTCTAGACTCGCTGTTAAATAATTATGTACAAGTAATAACTCTTGCTTAACAAACATAAATGAATGATACAACAAAACTATTCAATAAGTACTGTAGTCTTAGTCACACCCAGGAACTGTACATTTGAAAACATTCCGTGTGCCGAGATATACAACTTATTTAAGGCATTGTGAATATCCTCAGCGAATGCCAAATTTCAACAGTTTTGCAGGTAATTGGAAGCGCTCTTATACATTTAAATACAGTCGACCCTCGTTAATTCGAACTAATAGGGTGGGGGGGGGGGATGTCCGTTTTAGCGGATTGTCCGAATTAACCAATTTAGGGGTTAATATTGCATTATATTTCAAAGTCATTGTTTTCGTCACGATTTTATCCCACTTTCCACTGTAATACGTACGTAATTTCAGCAAAACTATTACATTTCCGTGAATGTATTATATCAAGCACAGTATGAATAGAATATCATTGTAATATAACAGTATTTTAACCGAAAACTAGTAAAAAACCAATAACATCTCAAGAACATCGAAAGCTTAGGTAAAGTCTTTTGTTTTCGTCATTTATTTAATCCTATTTTACATTGAAATACATCACGTTTCAGCAAAACTACTACAGTATTTATTTCCGAGAATATATTCATTCAGGCGCAGTTTAGGTAAAATATGCGCGTGATGTAACAGTTTTTTAACAAAACGATTCGAAAAACACGTATCCTCTAGCCCTGTTCAAGGAGAGGACTGGGAGAAGCTGTTTGGTGATGCAGACGATGACAAGGAAAATGATTTGGATGGATTTTAATGAAAATATTCAGAAATATGGTATCGTAGTATTTATTCAAGTCAATTAGGATAGAATATTATTGTAATACAATGGTTTTTTAACTGAAAACCAATTGAAAAGCGATTACGGTAACATCTTTTGAACGAACGAAAGCGAAAGTAATTGTTTTCGTCACGATTTTATCCCACTTTCCACTGTATTACGTACGTCATTTCAGCAAAAATATTACATTTCCGTGAATGCATTACATCAAGCACAGTATGAATAGAATGCCATTGTAATATAACAGTATTTTAACCAAAAACTATTAAAATAACGAGTAACTTCTCTTGAACATCGGAAGGTTAGGTAAAATCTTTTGTTTTCGTCATGCGTTTTATCCTATTTTACATTAAAATACATCACGTTTCAGCAAAACTACTATTTATTTCCGAGAATATATTCATTCAGGCGCAGTTTAGGTAAAATATACGTGATGTAACAGTTTTTTAACTGAAAACGAGTCGAAAAACACGTGTACCGTCTAGCCGATTGATACTCAACAGCTGGTGGTGCGTCATGCGTTCGTTGTAAACAATAGGAGGTTGAAGTAGATTACCGGGTATTATATTACGTGTGAAATATCGAAAAGGTTTTTATTACCGGTATTTTTTGTAGATCAATGAGAACTGTGATACCGTATATGATATGATAAGTTAGCCTATGCTAGGAACTTCAACATAGACTACTGAAAACACGTTGTAAGGTAATTTAGCCTATTGTAAGTTGGTGAGCTTCATTTGCTGAAGGAACTGCACAACTTTTCATTACTAATTGGTACATATTTTACGTTTCCATTGTTTACTGGCAGTAAATGGTAAATATATTTCATGTCTGAAGCTAAAAGTTGCTTCCCCCCCACACGAGTGGTGGAGATGTTACATTTAACCAAAAAGACGCTGGTGTTTTATCCCAGCAGTGGGTGGACCAGCATTTTAGCTTAAGGTCCGCGTAGGTAATATTCATAAAAAAAAAAAAAAAAAGTTCGTTCAGATTTTGTCCGAATTATCCGAAATCCGGATTAAAGGGGTCCTAATTAACGAGGGTCGACTGTAATGAAGGATCAAATGTCCCTACGGTTTCTTCTAGTAAGGTGATAATTTATACTTACAGTTAACTAAAGGGTCTGCACTGTAAAACTGAAAATCCTTGTGATCATTTTTATATTGATTACCTGTGGAGGGACGGCAGCTTATTGACAGAACGGGGAGATGGATACAGGACCAGCAGGAACAAACAACGCTGCACACACACACACATGTATGGTATACCTGTACATTTTTTCCCAACAAGGGAGGCAACAAGAAATTCCTTACAGGTTACTCTGCACGAATAAAAGAAAAATGCAATAAACCGAAAGATAGGCACAGGTACAGTACCCATTTTTCCATAAGTGTTTAAGCTACCTTACCTGTACAAGAATATCATAATAAAACCAAATTCTGGAAATGTTCCTCTACGTGATACAAAGAACAAGTGATAAGGTTAATGATATATATAGAGACTCGCTCCAACTAAGAGGCTCACTCGGGGAGGATACTAGAGGTTACCATCTCATCAACAAACACCGGCAGTGCGGCAATGTATTACCTGCGGCGACCACCAGCAGGAGGGACACTCACCGTGGCATGTCTCCAGTAGAGGATGATGTCGTGTAGATTTGCCGAGGGATGGAACAACAGGTAGTCTCTCCACTCATCAAAGCTTATGTCTAATGTCCCATCTTTGTCCATTCTGAAAAAAGGGAAGGTTTCCTCTAATATACATTCGTCAACAATAGCTTAAAACTACACGAGTTCATCACTGGCTTATAATCTACATAATCCAGCAATTCAGCATAAAATCTTAAGATATATTTTCCCAGTTATGGCTAACAAAAGGGAAAGAAAAATTAGTTATTGATTATTTCTATGGAGCTAATTTAAGTGTTTTAAATACTATGTAAAATGTTAATTAAAATATCTACATCCAATGCATCATCTTCCACTATCCTACACACACACCTTCACTTCCACCTAACTACTCTGTCACCTCTAGTTACTCATTTACCTTTTCTTGATCTTCACTTTATCCTTCTGCTTAGCTCTGTCATTTTCATCTTGCTTGTGTAATAATTCTTTCTTTTAAATTTTACTTGACAATATTTTCAAAGCCCAGACCATCATATTTTTCCATCCTTCCCACTTTTGCCACTTAAAACCCCTCTATTTCACACAATTCTTCTCTTCCTCCTTCATAACCAATTAGTAAACATCACAGTCTCTCTCTCTCCCTTTTTGACATTCTTTTCTTTTCCATTACACGTTACCCGTTCCGCTTTCACTTTTAATCAATGGTGTACCCAGAAATTTGCCGGAGAGGAGGGCGAACTTTTCTGTACGTTCATGATTAGTTTATCGTTCAATTAGTCATGATATTTTTAATTTATCTCGTTATTATATTTTATTTTCTTATTGTTAAAATGGTTTACAGTATTTGGAATAATTTATCAGCCCCCCCCCTCCCAATATGCCTACGACAATACCTGTATCTATGTCATGACCCGATCTGACAAAACATAAGGTTGTTAGGTTAGGCATTTTTCGGGGCAACTTACGGTTTTTTTTTCCCTGGAAAGTGAAAACTAACCTACGGGCACAGAGTAGTTGACGTCTTAAATACCTGTACTGTACTATTCTAAAGGTGTTTTTTTTATTACAAGCATCATTAATTAACACTAATTACAGTATTCTCCACATATGTACACTAATCGTTGCTTCTCAAATCATCATTTATCTCGGTTCTATCATACCATACTGGTCACTTATCTTTCTTTTACTTTCACACATTGATTCCATAATACTGTAATAGTTTTTAAACCATAATTCGACAAAACCTTCAATTACTTACCTAACTAACTACAACATTAATATAGCTTATTAAGTTATACTCTTCCCAGTATTGGAATCAGATGGTAATACCTGTACATTCATTCACACACAGATACACACATGACACAAGTACATATAGTAAATACATCGACTACACTTATCATTCATCTCTAATCACATTTAAAGCAACAGCTAAGTTGTCTATTTGCCCAAACATATGAACCTACGTTAAAAAAAGGGATACATAGTTATACCCACGGTGTGCTGTGGGTGAAAGTGTTTAAGGGAGGAGCATATGACAACAGAGAGAGAGAGATGGATAGGGACAGGGAGAGCACTTGTTGTGGGGGAGAACTGCCGCATGTGGTCACTTAAAAATAATTTTAGAAATCGTGTTAATGAATCAAATTACGAAATATATGAAATGTTAACTCTTTTTAATTCCCCCAAACAGCAAGAACCTTGTCTCAATGGCTGCACAAACACACACACACACACACACACAATAGCGTCATATCACCACTTACCTTCTTCCGGTAAATGCAAAACACTCGCGTCCAATAATGACTTACAGAGTGGGTTTATTTTTTTTTGTAAAGCTTCAGGGGGAGGTGCGGTGGGATGGTTGTGCATATTGTTTTGTTTTTATTACCTCGTCTCTCACCCACAGGGGTAGAGAAAAGGGGAGGGATGGGTAGTAGTAATGGGAGGAAGGGGACAGGGAGGAAGGGTTAAAGCCAAGCACCTGTAGCTACAACAAAACAACACTTTGACATCCACTACAGTAAGAAACGAGGAGTGTGCCTAAGGTTACATGTACCGCCCCTCTCTCTTTCTCCCAATCTCCTTCTCCTCATTTCTCTCCTCTCTCTCGTCTCCTCCACCTCCAACGCCACCTCCGTACACTTACACTATCCTGTAACCCAAATAGAGAAAAAAACATAGATACTGTTAGTAAGGGCATATGGTTGAACACACACACACTAAACAACAAACAAAGGGCAAAATTGTGAGTTTATGAATATTGAACACAAACACAACAAAAACAGAAGTCATCCCTGGAGTAGAAAAATGAAGTTCCCATTTTTAAAAGACGATACACACAAAAATAACAACTACTAACAGCTAGAGAAGATGTAAATGGCACACCTGTCAACGAGTACTCAGAGTGCGAACAACAGGTGACAACACACAACCTCTTAACTCCACCCTTGTTTCACTCTCACTATAACATCCCTTTACAACTCACAATAACCTAAATCCACCCTACAATATCAAAGGTCTTATAACTCGACAACAACCACCACCTTTAACTACAACCTCTTCGACAGCTACCTTCCCTTAACAATGGTCAAATTTAATGGTTGGACAGTATTCCTCTCCAAAAATTTTTAGTGTAAATAATAAATAAACCACACTCCCACTTCCTCTTCTTCTAACGATATTAATGATCTTAAATACAAAGTCAAAGGTCACTGTTACTCCTTAAGTCTTTACTCCAGGTGCATTTAAGTCTGAGAGGGTTACGACCGACAACGAGACTGGCTTGAGTGAGTGAAGGGTTCAGGCAAGCAGCACTTAAGAGGGCACTGAAGGCTACAAGGTTTGCCCCTCCCTATAATTTACATGTTAAACAAGGAGGAGAGGAGAGGAAAGGAGAGGAGAGGAAAGGAGAGGAAAGGGAGGGGAGGGAAAGGGAAAGAAAGGGGAGGGGAAGGGGAGGGAAAGGGAAGGGGAGGGAAAGGGAAAGGGAAAGGAAAGGTAGGGAAGGGAAAGGTAAGGTCATAGTTACTTAGAGAATAACGAAAGTGGTGCTGACAACGTTAGGATTTAAATGATTTACAACTACTCACTGGGAAAGTTGGGGGTGGCAGAGGTGTGAGGAGGGTGGCAGAGGTGTGAGGAGGGTGGCAGAGAGGTGAGGAGGGTGGCAGAGAGGTGAGGAAGGTGACGTTCCGTTGCGTGTCATGGGCCTCAAATGACCTTGCAGCGGCAGGCAAATACCCCCATCCTCTAACACCACCTCCTCCCCCCACCCTTTCAAGTTCCCTTCCACATATCTCACCACCTTCACCCTTCTTGTCTTTACACCCCCATACGTAACTTAAATCCTACTCTCGTCCTCATCCTTCGAGTACAACAACCAGAGGACAGTATACTCGTACGGGGGGGGGGGGTTACAACAGTTGTCTTAATACCCGGCGTCGAGTAGGAGGTCAGCGTTAACATCGAGGACAGAGAGGGAAGCAACTAAGTGCAGTTCATGTGACAGACAGCAGCAGGTTTGAGGATCTCATGACCTTCTGAGTACATAGGAGGATCTCGCTGATTATCTTGTTTACTGTCTTACTAACGGGAGCTGTCGATGGTTGCTGGTCAAATGGACTCGTTATAATTAGGCCAGATCTAACCTAACCTAATCTAACCTAACCTGACCTAACCTAACCTAACCAAAAGAGGTATTCACAGGTGCTGGTACCTGTCACTGGTCCTAGTCGTGATAACTGTTTGTAAAGTGTAGCTGTCATCATCACATAGGGGCTGTCTGTTCACTACTGTCATCATCACATAGCTGTCAGTTCACTATCAACCTAAAACACGATAGGGACAGTACTGAAAGGTGTGGCGGCCCTACAGGAACCATGCAGACAGGTAGCAATATTCCTGACGCAAGGGTGAGGCGGGTGGGTGCCGTCAGGAGGGAGGGGTCGCTCCTCCTTCCCCGGGTCAATACAGCACCACCACCGGCTGTTGCTGCACCAAGTGTAGCCCCCCGCCACCACCTCACTCCACCCCGCACGCTAAAACTGGGTCACCAGGAAGGATGTCTGGGCTGCCATCATCCTCTTCCTCCTCCTCCTCTTGTTCCTACACCATCTCCAAGACCCAAGTGACGTGGGTGAAAGGAAAGGACGACTTCACGTATTGACGGCACGTTTATGAAGACAGACAGTCGAGGACGCTTACACTACAAGGACATGATAGGTATTGGGTCCTACAGGGTATATATAGTGCCTGTACTGTCAAACACGACCCCCCCCCCACTACTACTACGACTCCCTACCACTACCACCACGATCCCTGCCTCCACTACTAGCCCTGAAACCTAACCTTCAAATGACACCTTCAGCCTCCAAAAACCAGACTGTAAACCTCCCAAACTCTGCCCAGATGTGTGTGTGTGTGTGTGTGTGTGTGTGTGTGTGTGTGTGTGTGTGTGTGTCGCTAAATAGGGATAACTTTTTCTTGATGTGACTTTACGGGTAAAATCTGGTGTTTATATAAGACGTCGTTTACTATAATAACCTAACCTGACCTGACCAAACTCACTCTATATAAGACCTGGTTAATGATGCTATTCGTCTCTAGTTTGTACAGTATCGTGATTATCTTGTACATGGTCGTGGTCTTGTACATGGTCGTGGTCTTGTACATGGTCGTGGTCTTGTACAGTATCCGCAAACAGACAGGCCAGTTTATCTCGATAAACACACACACACACACACACACACACACACACACACACTACGAGTTACTACACTACGTATTTGCTGTTCAACACCTACATTAATCTGTATGTTTACTGTATGTTCCTTCACCTTTCTCTAATGAAGGCTTTTGTTTAACCACCAATGTATGTAATAAGTCATTGATGTCCAATGTATATTTTCAGCCTTCGGGCTGCAGAACTTTTTCAATAAACCGTTAATTATTATTATTATTATTATTATTATTTACACACACACACACACACACTACGAGTTACTACACTACGTATTTGCTGTTCAACACCTACATTAATCTGTATGTTTACTGTATGTTCCTTCACCTTTCTCTAATGAAGGCTTTTGTTAAACCACCAATGTATGTAATAAGTCATTGATGTCCAATGTATATTTTCAGCCTTCGGGCTGCAGAACTTTTTCAATAAACCGTTAATTATTATTATTATTATTATTATTTACGCACACACACACACACACACACCCCAAACATTACCGATCAATTAAATTTCTCAGGAGAAAATGGGTCATCATAATTGTCTGGAAGCCCGAGTGTGTTATGTGCACCTAAATCATCGTCCTCACGGGGTTAAACCATGTTCACTATGGCCAACAAGTTAGTGGCTGTATCAAGGCTTCTTAAAGACACCTCACTCGCTGGCTAACATTCAAATCGAGTCTCGTTCACCAGGATGGCACAGGGGGATCTTGTTACGCTTCTAAACACCGACAAGAGATACATCAATACGTGTACTAGAACAGACTACACATGTACTAACTCTGGCTTATGTAAACACTGTAGCAAATATAGCGTGGCTGGAGAAAGAGTGCACGCAGTTACTTACATAAAGTACACCCAGTTACACACATGAACACGCACACAGACGTACTGTATACTAAGACGACCGACAGACAGACAGACAGGCCGCATGCACTGATCCACAGCCTCACACCTCACATACCACATACTTGGTACAGATACACGGCTTCTCCTCCTCCGGCTCCGAGATGAACTTGACCACAGAATAGGACGACTCGATGATGAAGTCTATGGTCTCAGCCAGTAGCTCCGCCGCCACGTCTGAGATAACATCCACAGTTGTGTCTGCCGTCTCCAAGTTGTCGCCGTCGTCTTCGTCGCCAGTCTTCAAGTCCTGCAAGATGGGCGTGAGGAACATGGAGTCTTCTGGGGCACTCATGTCGGGTAGGACATCCACCGCAGAAAACCTGATCTGTTTCTCGGTGTCTTCCGCTGGGCAGAGATCCGCCAGAGGCGGCTCCTGGCCCGGAGGGTGGTTGTTGACGTGGTTGTGTGTGGAGACTGACGAGGATTGTTTGGCTGCGGGTGTGGATGGAACACATGTTGCCATAAGCGGAGGGACGGGATGGATGGAAGAGTGCTGGATGAAACTATCACACCTTTATACACTCACTCGTAAACCTTAGGTGTGGAGGCGGCACTTACTAGATCAGTCAGGTTACCTGGTCGTGAGTCACCACGACGGACGCACTACCGGCATCCACTTAAGTGATCAATGAATAGAACACAATTAATAATGGATTATCAGGCAGCAAGAACCTGGCACCGAGTTACTCCCCCACTGTTGAAACAACCATTGTTGAGCGTCTACCCTGAGGCGTGTGCGCCTACGCTGGACATGACACCGAAGTGCAATCTTGGCAGAGGCACAATGAATCAAGGATGGCAGGCCGGAGGGGTTATGGCTCTTACTGCCAGCCCGCAGTGCCACCCGGCGGTGCTACTGCTCAGCTGAGGTGCTTAGCTGTTGGCGATCTTGTCTCCGCGGCAGTGTGATGGTCACTATTAAATTCAGATCCATATAAATTGTTCACTGTTGCTGATGTGTGTTAGGTGCGTGTGGCTCGGCGGCAGGTGTGCAGGCTGGGGTAGGAGGCGGCGTGTTTTAACTACTGCCGCGTGCTGGGCGGAGGATAAAGCCTCGGCCAACCTACATCGGCTTACAGAGAGCGACTGGCTGCGAGGCGTCGCGTGTCGAGCTGCGCCTTGCCGGTGTCGAGACACGGCCGACCCCCTACTGCCGCGGCAACACTCAAACACCAGCCCTGCCAACCACCCACAACACAACCTCCACTATAGTTGAATTATGAAGAGAATACTCGGTGGACACGCCATCCTGGAAACAAGTGACTAACAGCAGTTTTCCAGGACTGGATGATGCCAAGAAACACAAACATCACATAACACACGAAAGACACAAGAACCTATCCAAGTTCTCAAAGCTTAAGAATAAAAGTAACTTAAGAGGCAATTACCATTTGGGATGATAGAGAACTGACATAATCAAACACCATAAATACCAAGGTCATGGAACAAGGTCACTACTATGGAGTGGCATAGTTACCATTGTATTCAGGTCACAGTTTGGATAATTAAAGTGTCGATTGTATGGCAGGTACCCTCCCTCTCTGCCCTGGACCCACGTCAGATAGTTACCTTTACCCGAGGAATGTTGGTATCGAGTATCTGACAACTTCTCCACGGGAAAGGACGCTATCACCGAGCTCCACGTCGCAAAGAGCTGGTGGCGAGTCAATGTTGTTTACATAATCCTAGCAGACATAACAGGTGAGAGGACCGAGTCTTAAGATTCACTCACTCGTACCAAGACCGTCAACGATTACTACTCCTGTTTCATTCAGCCTTGAGAAGAGATGAGAAGAGATGAGAGAAACATCCACCTCCTTTTTTATTACATACAACACCGCGCAAGGCCCTACGGTGTACACATAAGCCTAGAGCACAAACAGACACTGACAAACGCCTTCAAGTGATCCAAACGAAGACTACAGGTGAGGGAGGAGGGGTGAGGGTGAGTGAGGAGGGGTGAGGGTGAGGGAGGAGGGGTGAGGAAGGAGGGGTAAGCTGATGTTGGACACTAACTTAACCCCCCCCCTGTCTCTTTCATGTACATCTTTATTATACATTTTCTTTCTTACTCCTTCCTTAACTCCTTATCTTACCCAGTTATTTCCTAGTCTCTTCCACTTCCTCCTTTATATTTCATTATCTCTCTACCTCTATCGTGCGTCTATTTACATCATTATCCATTTATTCTCTACACCACAATTATCACAGCATTTAATACCTCCGTTTCTTGGTGGCTATTAACACCTGTCCCATACGCCACTCACCGTACCTAATGTAAAGGACAGGTGTTAATTGAGCACCTGTTGTCATTAATAGAAACAGGTGGAACAAGTAATTCGCATTAACTACCAAATGTAATTTTTCGCTCGCATACGCCCTTGTTATTCTGAGAGCCAATTATCTCTTAAAAATGTTGAGTGAAATAACCAATCAGACAACGTCATTTGAGCGAATCAACCAATCAGACGCCGTCATTTGAGCGAATCAACCAATCAGATGCCGCCGTCATTTCTGTAATTGATATCATACCTATTGTCCTTATATACTACAGCAGGCGGAGATGAACCAGATTAGAGAGTGAGTGTGTGTGTGTGTGTGTGTCTCTCACCCCGTTAACGTCTCCAACAAGCACCTACTGTTGCTAACATCGTGGGGGGGGGGGCGTCTCTTTAAATTAAACAAGACAACAAAGGTGACAATTGTGATCTCACCAGCCCTATAGGTATGACCTGGTTGGCACTAGGCCAGACAAGAGCTCCAACACATGCTATAATATAAACATTCCTCGACGTATCACATGCCATTAAGAATCTGTGAACTAGACTTTACATTTTCGCTAACTGCTGGAACTCTCGGGCCAGACACCCGTGTTGGCAGTTTATTCACGGCCATACGCTCATGTTGGCAGTTTATTCACGGCCATACGCTCATGTTGGCAGTTTATCCACGGCCATATGCTCATGTTGGCAGTTTATCCACGGCCATATGCTCATGTTGGCAGTTTATCCACGGCCATATGCTGAACAAGACAGTTGAGAGCAGCGTAATGTAAAACAAAATAAGAAACGATACAATTGATGGCAAAAAAAATCAAGTAGTTCAACAAATAAATAACTAAATATTAATAAAAATTATGAGGACGATGATGGCGATGACTGATCTATTGATAGCGTTATCTATTACAACAAACATGGCGACTGATTGAACATTTTTGAACAGTAAAACATGAACAGACAAGGTGAATGCCCCTCCGTGTGTGTGTGTGTAAGCATTTTTTTAAATCAACGTCTCTTCAAAAGCTCATCAAGAAATCCATAGGCCTATCTACCAATAAGCGAATAGGCCTGTCATGTTCCTAAATTTCGTATGCAAAGTTATTCGTGAAAAAAATTCTTCTCTTCAATTAACAGAACTGAAAGAAGACAAACCACCACCATTTGGCAGTACAGTACCGTAACCACCAAACAATCACCGGCTTCACTCAGCTAGGTTAAAGGAAACAGCTGGCAACACTACATGATGCAAGACTTACTCCGTGTGCCAGGGTCCTCCACACCCGGTCACCAGCTGAACCACAGTGACGTAGAAGCACCGGCCAAACCAACTAGGCAGATCATAATTTTATTCATTTATTACCAATATTATTTCAACAAGTTAATGATATTTATTTTTATTTTATTATTTATTGTTTATTTAGTTAGGTTTATATATTGTCGTGAGTTATTCAGTAGCCGACAACCTCAGGGGAAGGACACCACCACATGACCGAACACCGCCAAGCATTCCATTAAACAGCTTGCTAGTCTCAACACCACATGATCAAGGCTGGCAGTACACCATTAAGTAACGGTGCCACTAGCAATACAAACAATTCTAGCCACACACACACACACACAATTCATAATCTCAAACTCATTTAATAAAAGTTACTAATTCAGGACTGGGGTTGACTAAGTGTGTAGGAAAGGGCCTCCTCTTCCTCACTGAACGAGTAACCTGACAACAAAAAACAGTATTCTTCCCCCTCACCTGGCAACGGCTCACCCAAATCAGTCTTATTTATAACACCTGGGAAATTTTTAGCGAGAGTCGTCAACTCACTGACTCACATGCCTAGACGCTGAGCCGGTGTGAATGAAGCTACTATGTTTTCAGCTTAAAGTTTTGGTTGTTGACTTTGATAACTGGATGAAAAGTTGGTTAGGTTAAGTCAGGTCAGAAGTGGGTATATAAACCACTAGATCCCAGAGTAATTGACAATAAACGAAGTAAATAACAAAGTCGATGGGTCACTGGTGTTCATTATCTATCCCCAAGTAACGAGACCGACAAATAATATGACCAAAAGAATTAACGAGGATGACAAGTAACGAGGCTGAAAGTAACGCGGCCAACAAGTAACGTTAAGCGATACATTGGAAATAAGTAGCCCGGCATCACATACTAATCGATAACATCTCGCCCCCATCCTTGGCGGCGACGACCAGCCAGACACCTCCCACCCCCCCGCACCTCCCCTCCCGCCAGCGCCACTTTCCCGACTCCTCATACCTTGTCAGTCTCCAACTATGTCGCCTCGTTCCCACCTCACCGCTAACATGAACGTCCTGTTATGAACTGTCCTACTGCCTGCCAGATGTGTGTGTGTGTGTGTGTGTGTGTGTGTGTGTGTGTCTGTCTGTGTGTGTGTGTGTGTGTGTGGGGAGGGGGGTATTGTGTACATCCTGGCGCCACACATCCACAATATGGGTGTGGTTATGCCCCCTACATCTTCCACAATCTCACCATTTAACATTATCAAGTTTTCTCTCTCTCTCACCATCATTACCCGTGACAAACTCGCTCGCCTAATACAGCCATTCATTAACTTTAATAAAATCAATACCGAATAATACACACGATTATTGAAGCAAAATCTAATCACTCGTATACTCCGTCGGTAGAAGAGTGAGTTAGAGATGTATTCAGGTACAAGACTTCTGTTATCTCGGCGGCATGAAAATTACGACCTCAAAACCCAACAACAAATAAGAGGGAGGAAGCACACACCACTCAAGAAGGTCCAGACTCCAGGCAATCACGGGGTGTCCACGTGGTCACCCAGCACCTACTGTACCGGGGGCCTAACCACCACCACCTCTCCCCCTCAACACCATGGAATTTCGTTAGGAAGAACAACTACAAGAGCTGGCAGTAGTTAACAGACCACGAGAGAGTTTGTTTACCCGTATCTACACGTTTGAATTAACCTCACCTACTCCAGCGAAGAATGACGAAAATGATTCTGGGACTTAGAAACCTTCCATATCAAGATAGATTAAAGAAACTATACTTGCATTCCCTTGAAAGACGAAGAGGCGGGGAGATCTGATAGAAGTATTTAACTGGGTGAAAAGAATCCATAAAGGAGATATAAAGTTCTTATAATATCCGAGCAGGATAGGACTCGGAGCAACGGATTTAAGTTGGATAAGTTTAAGTTTAGGTTTAGGAGGGAGATAGGAAGGAACTGGTTCACAAATAGGGTGGTGGACGAGTGGAACAAGCTTAGCAACTTTGTAGTAAGTGCTGGAACTCTGGAAAGTTTTAAAAGGGGGCTAGATAGATTCATGGACGATAGAGAGTGGTTGTAACTCTTAAGAACATAAGAACATAAGAATGGAGGAAACTGCAGCGGGCCTATTGGCCCATACTGGGCAGTCCCGTTTACACCCAACCCCTATTGCTCACATAAGCATCCAACCTATGTTTGAAGCTATTCAGCGTATTCGAGTTAATAATGATATTTGGTAACTTGTTCCATTCATCCACTATTCTGTTTCCAAACCAGTGTTTACCTATTTCACGCCTAAATCTAAATTTGTCTAATTTAAAACCAATGTTACGAGTTCGCTCCTGGTTGGATAGTTTGAGTACCTTTGTAATGTCCCCTTTGTTTAGCCCTGACTTCCACTTATACACCTCTATCAGGTCGCCCCTCGCTCTACGGGAGTGCAAATTAAGATGCTTTAACCTGTCTCTATACTCAAGGGAGTGCAAATTAAGATGCTTTAACCTGTCTCTATACTCAAGGTTC